AAATAGTTAAAATTAAATTTTAGATAACTTGAATGAACTTGGATTTTTCGGCAGTTGTAGCATGTCTTCATGGACCCTTACTCAATTGAGTTTTTGAACTCTTGAGCGGCAAAGCATTTCGTTTGAATTTACTTTAAAATGGTAGGAATTGATTGCTTGAGACATAGAAAGCTCAGCGGATATTTATCTAAAGCTTAAATGATGATTTTCAAATGTAGATGTCTAACCATAGAGGAACAAATTTACATCACTCGACCACTCTTGAGTACAGTGTACCACTCATATGTTTTTCAGATGATCATTTTTTTTTTTTTTTTTTTTTTTTTTTGCTAAAATTTAGATGAGTTCTATTGAAATTTTCCTGACAGCTGTAGTCGTTGGAATAGCGGTATAGAGGGCCGTAGAGGCGTCAAGACCAGGTCAAACTAAATTCTAAAGGAGTTGAAGAAATAAGTGTTTTTCTCAACCCAAATTTTGTTTAAATTTATTTTTAGTATTCAATCTCGAATTCAGTGTATCTTTAAAAAAGATTAGATTGAATGAAAATAGAATTTAGTACCTCTCATATAAACAGAGTGTTCATCTATCTACTCGTTGGTCAGTTGCTAACGATTACGTTGTAGCTTTCTCGTAAAAAGTTCAATAAGTGTCTTTCGAAAGAGCAGAGGAAGTTGCTAGTTCCTACTGTATAAATTTTAACAAGTGAACGAAGAGAATGGATAGATTAGTTCAAATGTTACGCTAGAACCACGTAATCGGAGGAGCAGGTGAGGCCAAGCTACTTAGCCATGGGACGTTCCCGCAGTAAAATCTAGCAAGTAAGAAAAACAGCTGATCTCAAGTATTTCTTCGTTCAATTTGAACATCCAAAAAAATGAATAAAAAAAAATGAAAGACAATTCTTGTACAAAACTTATTTTTTGGTTAATCTTTTTCCAGATTTTCATATTTAGACGAATATATATGTATTGTAGCTAATGTGACTTTAGGCAAGGCTAGTTCTGCCACTTAGCTGGTGTCATACATTTTACAGCAGAGATAGATGAAACATAAACCATAAATATTGTAGGAACAACAATGAAATTATATATTCCGCCGATTTTTGAGGTAGTTCGACTTATCAGTTTCGATATTTAGAGAAAGCTGATTGTGCACCTGAGTATTTTGTGTGGTTAGCAGTTTCCTGCTTCTATCTCCAATTTCGCATCATTTGGACGCCCAATAAACAAAACATTCCTCATTGAATCAAATGTATGGCTGTATGCTTGTGTATCACTACTATATATGTAGGCATATGCTATTTAAATACGATTTAGTTCTAAATTTGCTAATTATTTCGACCGCGTGAAGTGCATTGATCTTATTCGCTTTTATTGTTTTTGCTGGTTGTTTATTGTTTAATCGTGCTACTTGCTTGTTGTTGTTGCTGCTGTTATTTTTGGTATCGCTACAAAGTTGGAAAATGAACTTTTGCACTTGCAGACGTTTATTTATTTTTTTAAGCTTCCACATTTTGTATTGCCTCTTTATGCATACCTATGTATGGGTATATGTATGCGTGTATGTGTATATGAACATTAATTGATCATTATTCTGTACAATGATATTAAAATTGATCTCTCATTATTTTATTGACTTCTGCAATGCTTTAATTTACATTAATCCATTGCGTACTTTTGTGGTTATTTTTGTAGCTGATAAATTAAGCTTTTATTGTCGTTTGTGTGGTTCGTCGTACAAACGGAAACACACAAAGAAAAAACGAAAACGCTTGACAAAATTTGCTGCTGCTTTTTTGATTTTTGACAAAAACATCCGTTTCAGAGAGGAGACATTCGGGTGAATGTACACTTTATGCATAAATTAAATAATATTTTTTTCCTGTTTAAACATCATTCATCATTACTTTTTCCATTTTTGGAATCTTAAAAACTTTGTAGGGTCTCAAGATACTTTTAACGATTACATTTTAAAAGATGACAATCCGCGCAGACAGGCGTGTGATTTTACTAACTACTAACTGGCTCTTCTGCTTGACTTCCAGAGATCTTACGAAATGTCAATTATCCTTGAAGTTAAAAGCTGATTTGGTTTACTGGCTCTTCTGCTTGACTTCCAGAGATCTTACGAAATGTCAATTATCCTTGAAGTTTGAAGCTGATTTGGTTTACTTGCTTAATTATAATTGTTTACTTGTGCTGAATCCGAAAATGATTTTCATATTGTTATAAAACTACCGGTTTTTTTTGATATGTAGTTATCTCTGGTAGCTTTTCCCAGTGACACTGTTTTTGGTATATTTTCTGGAGCTTCCAACAGTAGTCTGCCATCGTTGATATGCTACATCTTCCATGTCATATGTTTTCCATTTCCTTAATACTTTATTTAAATCGTTTATCTTGCTGTTAACTCCCATATCCAAATATAAGGTTGTCAAATATCCGCTTTTTTGTCTTTTGAATTTCGCGGCTATGTACAAAGCGCTACAGAGCTCGTATCTGGCAACACTATACAAAATTTGAAAGGTCTTGACATAACCTACAAAACAACGACGTGTAAACATGGAGTTCACTAACGCCAAAATTCGCGCTATTTTAAAGTTTTCCTTCGTTAAAGGCAAATCCGCTAGAGAAACGTTTCGTGAGATTAATGGTGTTTTGGGGCATGATACTCTATCACTTCGAACCGCGGAGGAATGGTTTCGATGATTCAGAGCCGGTGAAAACGACACCATGGATAAGCCAGCCGGCGGAAGACCTGTGACGACAAATACCGATCAAATCATGAAATACATTGAGTTAGACCGGCATATGGCATCTCGTGACATCGCCCAGGAGATGGGAGTTAGTCACCAAACCATTTTGAACCATCTGCAGAAGGCTGGATACAAAAAAAGTTTGATGTTTGGGTGCCGCATAATTTGACACAAAAAAACCTTCTGGACCGAATCAACGCCTGCGATATGCTGCTGAAACGGAACGAACTCGACCCATTCTTGAAGCGGATGGTGACTGGCGACGAAAAATGTATCACATACGACAATATCAAGCGAAAACGGTCGTGGTCGAAGGCCGGTGAATCGTCCCAAACAGTGACCAAGCCGGGATTGACGGCCAGGAAGGTTTTGCTGCGTGTTTGGTGGGATTGGAAGGGAATCATTCACTATGAGCTGCTCCCATATGGCCAGACGCTTAATTCTACCATCTACTGCGAACAACTGGGCGATCGACCAGAAGCGTCCAGAATTGGCCAACAGGAAGGGTGTAGTGTTCCACCAGGACAACGCCAGACCACACACTTCTTTGATGACTCGTCAGAAGCTACGAGAGCTCGAATAGGAGGTTTTATCGCAACCACCATATAGCCCGGACGTAGCGCCAAGTGATTACCACCTGTTCCTGTCCATGACGAATGCCCTTGGTGGTATGAAGTTGAACTCAAAAGAGGCTTGTGAAAAGTGGCTGTCCGAATTCTTCGCAAATAGGAGGGGGCTTCTACGAGGAAGGTATTATGAAGTTGCCGTCTAGATGGAAACAGATCATCGAACAAAACGGCGCATATTTTAACTAAATCCGAGATATTTCTGGAAAGTAGTCTCGATAGCCGAGTGGTTAGCATTGCGTACTGTCACTCGGAGGGCCAGGGTTGGAGTCCGACCAGCATCCAAAAATTGTAGAAAATTAACTTAAATAAAAAATTAAGTAAATTTGTCTAATTGCGTTCGCCCTCCGCCAGGAAGTGTCAAGCTCTCCGAGTGTATTTCTGATGTGTATGAATGTTTTTGACATTTTTTACTATATGTTTATATCCTAAGTACCTTTGTTATTTATGTTATAAAAATTTCTATGATCTCTATAAATACATTCGATTCAGGATCAACCACAAGCAGTATAATTTCTGTTTCAACGAACACAGTTCTTGAAGAACTTCTTCTCTAAGAAGTAATACAAGTTGCTTTTTCGGTGCCAACTTTATCTGTGACAGGAGTTGAAGAACTTTATTATAAAGCTCAGAAGTTTCGTGCAGCACATTCTTTTCGCTCACGTTAAACTTCCTCGGAAGTTAACACTCTTCTGCTCAGTGATTTATTTAGCCTCTCCTAAAAAAAAAAAAAATGGTAAATCTCGATTATTGTCCGACACAAGATTTTCAAATCATAACACCATCGTGCAACTGGGTTTTCATTTTATTTTGAAAATAAAAAATTCTAATTTGGCAGGAAGTGTTAACTCCTCCGAGAGTGGTCCTGACTTAGAAAGCTCATCAAAAAACTTATTTAGCCGAATGAAGGGAACTATAGGGTCTTTCGTTAGAGGCAGAAGTGTTAACTCCTCCGAGAGTAGTCCTGACATAAAAAGCTTCTCAAAAAATTCCTTTAGTCGGACGAAGGGAACTATAGGGTCTTTCGTTAGAGGCAGAGGGTACTTGGACTCGCACATGAATATATTTCTCTGTATAAAATTGAGTTGTTGCATAAGATCAATACAGTTCTTAAAACCTTTTTCAGTGTTCTTTATAAGCAGAAGTTGAGAATTGCTTTTAGAAGGGATAAACTTTTACTCAACGGAGCATTAATAACGTAGACCAAACAAGGCTCAATTCTGTGATTATATATATATTTTTCATAATTTGGCACCAAGAATAGCTGAGAGCTTGGTTCTGCGCAGCCTTTCTGCGTGCCATCCTGTCAAAGAATGGCCTGCTTAGACTTTTATTTCGTGTGACATTCTACGAACCCTTTTATGGCCGAGTTGTTAGATTTCCTGCAGTGTGTGTGTGATAAAAACGCCATGCTCATAAGTAGATTCTTTAGGTAATAATTTCCTAAAAGCAAACCAATGTCTTGTTTTTCAAGAAAAAGTTCGTCTACCTTACACTTTCCCAAGCGCGATATTGAAAATTCTCTTTGGCCAACTCCAGTATACTGTTATGTTTATTTATATATGTACATACATACATATATCTTCATCACTTATAATTTGTTTTTGTTTTCTTTACAGAACATTGCGATATGACTTCTTTGATATGTTGCTGCCGATAACTAAAACCATCATCGCAGTGAGAGATTTAACCCCTAGAAAAATGGGATATGAAATCGAAATCTTTCATTAAATTAAGAAAAATCACTACAACGAATTGACAAACTCGTTATTCAATAATCGTAAGGACAAAATGCAATCCCACTTGCTCGTGTATGAGCTGCAGCAACAGCAACAAAAACATGAATATGAAGATGAGCATACGAGGCAGAGGCAAAGGCAAAGACAGCGAAGAGCAAGGCGCACGTCGACGTCATGGCAGTGGCGAGCAACGGAAGCGAGTAGCGAGACCATTACCCACAGCAGCAGCAACAAACAAACCAACGACAACAGTAATAAAGACGAAAGCAGCAGTAGTAGCAGCACTGCCTGCAGCAGCAGTAATTGGCACGCGAAAATTGCGAAGCAAAGGCGAAGGGGCAAAATGCCAATTGCTACGCAAATAAAACATGAAAATGACAGTGCTAATTATTGTAATTTCAATAAAATCAATCGACGACTGCTAATTGTCGCTGCTGTCGCCTGCTTGTTGTTGATAACACTTACAGCTGCAGCAACAACAACGGCAAAAACAGCGGCTGCCAACACTATCGCCACCGCGACTACGATGATAATAGCTGTTGCGACGACAACAACGAAAGCAAAAACAGCAAGCAGCTTACTGAGCCACACTACAACAATAGCGACATTTGCGCTATACCTCGCGCCTCTGTCGCTAATTGGTCACATGCATTTTACATTTGCCGCCGCCGCAGCTGTGCCCGCCCCATCGCCACTATCAGCACTGCAACAGCAACGTCAACTACAACAACAGCAATTATTTGCGATGCTAACGAAAAATGGTCAAGGTAATGCTGGCGACGAGTTGATTACTGGTGATGCTGGTGGTAGAACAGGAGCAGGAGTGGTCGCGGGCGGGGAAGATGTGCCGACAAGAGCATTAGCTGCAGGATTCATACCCAAGCATCTATTAGCATCGGATGAGGTGGACAATGCAGACACGTCAATGGAGACAGCTGGCTTTGTAGCCGATGATGGTCAACGTTATGAGAAGGCGCTGAAAGCACAGGCCACGGCCTCGGTTAACAACAACAAAGCCGCTGGCATTGTTAATGACAGTAACGGCGGCGGCCGATTGTTTGGCGTTGGTGCACCATCGGCTTGTCCAACAGAATGCAAATGCCTCGATGCATATTTCGATTGCGATGATAAACTGTTGGATCGTGTTCCCACTTTGCCCGGCTACGTGCAGAGGCTGTAAGTGCACAAGCAAATACATTCATACTTATATATGTATCCACTTTATGATATTCTCAAATATATAGTTTATATTATGACTTTATCTATTGAATTATCAAGAAGCAGAAGAAAAAGAAGAAGAAGAAGTATTTCTGACCTAAAATAAAGCTCCACATAAAAAATCATCAGCTCGGGAGCGGCTTAGTATAACTGTAGGTCCCTCCTTTTTTTGGAAAAACTTTAAGATGCAAAAACCACAAATTGGAGGAGGAGATCGGCCGAAAATCGCTTCAGCGGTTACAAAACTCCAATTATATATATATATATATATATATATATATACTATAATACAAAATTCGTCGAGATAGACACGATCACCTCATTTTAATTGGTTTTACATATATACATATGTATGAAGAAAAAACCGAACAGAAGTTTAAAACCCTAAATTATTTAAATTGAAATAACTTTAATATCTGAAGAGGAAAATATATACTCGTATGTACTCAACTGGGGTGTGAATATTTTACAAAATCTCTCCATCGAAAAGTTCTGGAAGCATCTTGTTGTGTTTGTGTTTGTTCGTCGAGAGACAGCTTTTTTTCGTTTTCTCCTGCACAAGAGCGATTCAGCGATGAACAGCCTAACATTTTTATTATTTATGATGATTTGAAAATAGACGAAATTGTTTAAAACTTCAAAGTTATGACTGTCAGTAGAGTCAAGTGGGGGATGCACACATATTTCGTTCTTATCATTGTTGTTGTTGTTGTAACCGCAAAGTTATTCCCCAAAGTACTTTTTGGGGAATGTTGCGGGAGTGACAGTCCTTGGCCGGATAAAAATGCGGGTCGTTCCGGTATAAAGACCCGACTGTCGCGGGAACTATTGGATTTTAGTCGCCTCTTACGACAGACATACCTTACCGCGGGTAAATTCTTGAGCCCCTAACCCGCAGGGGTTCGTTCTTATCATTTACTTGGCTTTCTTATCGTTATCCTCAAAAATCGGTAGTAAGGTGAGGAAAATTATTTGTTTTATAGACAATTATACATCTTCGATTTCGCTGTACAATTCGTATGACTCGCTCAACGTTCGCTTGAAGTATGACACTTTTTGAATCACCACATTTGGTCTGGACACATCGGAGAAGATCTTTCAATTCTGAGAAATCAAAAAAAGAAAGAAAATAAACCAATATTCTATCGTTTTCCTTTCCATTGATAGGCTTCGGATTTTGTTACAGCCAAAATTAATTTGGTGCCGACACAGAAAGTGTGCACTAGGCCCCAATGAAGGGAACCTTCTACACAACTCTTATTGTTGAATAGAAAAATATGTGGGATAAAGAAAGCCATTTTTTCGAAGCTATTTAAGGGAGTAAGGCGTAGGCACAACTAATCCTTCATTGAAGTAGGCTTGGAAAAATTTATATAGTGAATTATACAATCAACACGAGTAAAGAAGAGGGTGGCTGATGAATAGGAACAACTTGTTTTCATTAGAAATAAACGTAGTTCGTTGCTTACACCTCCTCCATTTAGCTAGTAAGCAAAAAAAAGTAGTGTCTTAAAATTTTCAAATAATATTTATTTCATTTTGTACATACTTATACAAAAAATAATAAATTCATAATAAAATTTTGCTCTTTCTAGCGATTTGGTTGGCAATAAACTGAATAACACGTCCGTGCTGCAGATAGCGAATCTAACGGAACTAATACAACTGTAAGTAATGAAAACTAGAAAAATATCCACTGCATTTTACTACAATAAATCTACTGACATTAAACTAAGTGCCTTAAACTAAGTAATCTAAGCATAAATATTAAATACAAACAATTTGAAATTTATACAGACACACTTATGTATAATTGGTAACGTTATAATAGTCACGTATTTGGTTTTATTAATTTTAATTTAATTTTCTTATGAACATTATGAATACCATATAACACACATATGCATGTATGTGTGTATGAATGTATTTTAAGTTTAATGCAATTTATTCTATGCCTTTCTTTTATCTTTTCTATTTATTTTCCGCACACTTCTCATCTCGTGCGGCCATCAATTCAATTCACAATTGTTTACTTATGCATATATGTATGTTACCTCCTACTTACCTACTTAGCACATTGAAACGCAACCAACTGGAAATTGTTCCCGTATTCGTTGGACTCGGCGCTCTAAAGCAGCTCAATTTAGCTAATAATCGTATTCAGCGTATTAACAGTGAGGCGTTGGAGGCTTTGCCGAAGTTGAAAACATTGGATTTGTCCAGAAATTTCATACATGCCTTGGAGCCGAGTTTTTTTCCACCAAGCAACCGTTTGGCGCATCTGTAAGTATGCCATTGGTTAATGGATTTTAATGAAATTTATTTTTATTCATCAATTCAAAGTTTTTTGAATTTTAATCTTTTCTATCATATGATAGCGATAAATTGGTAGAGAAATACCGATTATTTCTTGATTCAAAAGTAAATTTCTTTTGGGAAAAAGACCTCCTGCTTTACACCCCCGAAGGGTGTTAAAACATTGATCCCTTGCCGAGCACCTTAAATGATAAAGATTATTCAAAGTAATATTGCCTTTAAATTTAATGCTTCAGCGGTATAAAATTTTCGTCCGACATTTTCAAATGGGTATATGTATGTGTTTGCATTTTTGAGGTTAGGCTTGTCTTGGAACTAGTTAATTTTATATTTTTTGAAATATATAAATTTCCATCTTTTGGCTTATTTTGGCATCGCTCACTCAGAAATAACAATAAAAACGGCTGTTCACTGACTTCAAACGTTATCGTAAAGATGCCGATGATGCAAAACACAACTCAGTAGTCGTCCAGATATTATCAAAAAATCAACAAACTCGTTATGAGTGATCAGCAAAAGGAATCACTAGAGTTTGCTAACAGGAACAAGATTGGTATTGTAATGTCGTTGCTGGAATGATTGTTTGGCACTTGATAGAGATAATTCACCATTGGCGTAAACACCGTTTGCGAGATATAACATAAGTGGGGGGATTACGTTGACGTGCAAATCAAATTTTGATCAAAAAATGCGTTTAGTTTCTTAAGCGCAGGACTTTTCAGCCCATATGTTATTTTATATTAGTGATTTACATACACTTATTTCCATTTCTTTCCGAATCTCCGATGGTAAATTAAAATACCCCATTGTACGCATCCAATGTTATTCATTTGAAGACTTCGTTTGTCGTATCTGTCAAAAATTTACATCCCAAAGACAAGCTCGAAAAGTACGAAATAAAACTCTGTTTGGTAGGAAATGTCAGTAAGAATTAAGAATAAGAATTAGTTAGTAACGAAATATCAAAATTGCGCTCTCGGTGAGCCTATTTGTCTCCCGAACGCGGTCCAGTAACACAAACAGACCAAACAGAGCTAAAGGCAGTAATATTTTTTGGAAAATTTCAAGCTACAATAACTTTATTGTGCGTAGAAAAGTGTCATTTGCACATATTCTCAATTTTTTTCACTACTAAAAATACTTGATTTAATTTTATTTTCAGCATACTTAACTCAAATGAGATAAGTAATATTGATGAAGATGCATTTCTACATTTGGGTGAGCTATTTTACTTGGAAATGAATAACAATCACTTGGGAATCCTGCCGGCTGGTGTTTTTCGTACACTACACAAACTTCGAAAGCTGTAAGGAAATCAAAAAATTAAAAACAAAAAAAATTATAACTTAATTTTCATAATGTCGTGCCTTCCCTCTTGTAGGTCATTAAACAACAATCAACTAGAGATCAACTGGTCCACATTTAAAGGTCTCTCATCTCTGCAAAAACTCTTCCTAAAATCCAATAATATACGCGCACTACAAGATGGTGTCTTCTATGTGATGCACGCGATCGAAACAATTGAATTGGATCACAATGGCATCACATCGCTTGGCCGTCAGGGACTCTATAATCTTACGAAATTACATCATTTGAGTTTGTCGAACAATTCCATTTCTCGTATTGAATCCGATACCTGGGAGTTTACACAATCACTCATTTCTCTCGACTTATCACACAATAATATCAGCGAATTCAAGCCACAACATTTGGATTGTCTAAAACGTTTGCGCCACTTGAATTTAGGTCATAATAAAATACAATATTTGGCAGACAATACATTTGAATGTGTGAAGAATTTGGAGGATTTAAATATGAGGCGCAACAAACTCGCATGGATCATCGAGGATCCAGGTGCCTCACCACCGTTCAAGGTGTTGCGCAAATTGAAGAAATTGGATTTGTATGGCAATAATTTGAAACAGATTGTGAGTAAATCACTAAGTGGCTTGGGTAGTTTGGAGTCGCTGAATTTGGGCGGCAACGCATTGGCCACGATACAAGCAGGCGCTTTCGACCACATGCCACGTTTGCAGAAATTAAGTTTCAAATCATTGAATTTTATATGTGACTGCGAGTTGATGTGGTTCCAACGATGGCTGAGGCGTTATAAGCAATCGGCCGTTGGTGCGCAAGTGCAATCTGATAATGCTGTGTGCGGCTATCCGGAGGAGTTGTTCGATCATCAGCTGTTAGCACTGAGCACCAGCGATTTAGCTTGTGGTAAGTGCCGAAATGTAATATATAAAATAAAAGTAGTATATAATAATAAAATTCTGTTTTGTAATTAATAGTCAACTCGCCCAAACCGAACATTATACAAGAGCCTTCTAGCCAACTTACTGTGAAGGGCGCCAACATTACCATGGAATGCATAGGTATTTCACCCACGGCTGCTTCTTTGGCTGCGGCGGATGAGCTAAAAATTAAGTGGCGTCACGACAACCAGAATATACGGGAACGCGAGCGCAGTCACTTCACCGCAACACATCCTAGCGGAACAAGTTCCAATGGTGGCAGTTATAGTACAACCGAAACGCGCATACGTCAAGACCACGCCACCAACGAGACTACAATTATCGGCTATTTGCGGTTATACAATGTGAGTTATGCCAATGCTGGACGTTATCAGTGTGTAATCTCGAATGCGTTTGGCACAACATACTCACAGAGGTTTAAGGTCTCCATTGGAAGTAAGTTAGAAATGAAATCAATATATGGTTGTGGCACAAAACCGTTATGCAAATTTTTTATTTTCATACATTATGTATTAACACTATTTTTTTTTAATTCTTTCCTTCTCAGTTCATCCAACCTTCCTGCAAGTGCCTTCTAATCTTACCATCGATTCAGGCGAAACAGCGCGTTTAGTTTGCTCAGCGACTGGTGACCCAGTGCCGGAAATAGCTTTACAAAAATTTGGTGGCAGTGATTTCCCGGCAGCGACGGAGCGACGTTTACAAGTTATACGCGAGGAAAATGCCTTCGTAATCACCAATGCTAAACCGATTGACACCGGCATTTATACATGTACTGCTGAGAGTGCGGCGGGTGAAATCAAGGTCAATGCTACCCTAGTTGTGAATGGTATGTTCCGCTGCAAAAGAACTTCTTTAACAAAATAATAATTCATATAAAACAACTTTTTTCTCCACCAACAGACAAACCCCAACCCAAGATACCAGTTGTTAAGAAGGAAACTGCTGTCGGCGAGTCAAGTGTTTTGCAATGTCTCAGTGAGTTAGCTGCTGATTTGACTCAACCCCATCGCGAATGGTTCAAAGATAATAAGCCATTCCATTTGGGTACAATGAGCGCCGATAGCGAGCGTTTCTTTTTCACCTCCGAACATGAACTTTTGGTTATTGTCAATACAGAATCTGCGGATGCTGGTCATTATCGTTGTGAAATTAGCGACAATTCAAAAACCTATACTGTGCAAACGGAGCTAATTGTGGTTAAGGAGGAGCTCAGTCAAAATGTAATATTTTTCGGCGCAGTTATTGTGGCAGCCCTTTGTGTGCTCATCATAGCGTTGGTCGTATTTGCATTATGTCTGCATCAGCGGCGCAAAGCGTATAAACGTCGTCAACGTGACGCTTGCCAAAATGCAAACAGTACTAGTGGTGCGCCTAGTGGTTTGCTTTCGGGCAGCGTCGGCCTAATTGGCGGTGGCGCGCGCATAGCTTCGACCAGCACACAAGTATTAAACAACAGTCGTTGCAGCGCATTGGATCAAACGCAATTAACCACATTGAATCGTACATTGTTGCGAGACCTGCAACGCCAACGGCCAAGCAGCTATGCAGATTATGCTGTAAACACGGCCAATGGTGATGACGATATCGAAAACGAGGACTTGGCGCATGACGACTTTGAGAATGGCAGACAACATCAAAATTTAATTGTTACGCACACGCCCAACTACCAACAGTTGTTACAGCAACGTGATGACATTAATAATGAAGACTACGATACACACTTCAGTTTACCGTACTTAAAACGTATTTCATTGCCCGACAACGCAGGCGTTGGCGGTGACCATACTCAGGACCATTTGTCTAGCAAAGATTCCGGTAATGGTTCGGACACAGCAGTAAAACGTAGTATCGATGACTTCACTACGACTGCGTTGTTACCATCAGCATCAACTAATTTGCAACACAATGCGCTCGATTGTGCCACAACTCCAGTCAATGAGACCACACCAACACTAGAACACCACTATAATGCTTGCCATCCTAACGTCCAAGAAAATTCATATCCCACAGATGATGGTGGCGATTTGGACGATGCGGATTTACTATACGCAGCAACACATGCGCTCGGCGTTTCCGAATGTGATGTTGAGTTGTTAGATTTCGATCGGCATAGAGCGGCTACTATGCGTATCGACGATAAAGACTTGCAGGTAACAAGAGAAACCAACGCAGATGACGACACTGATGTGGCAAATGAACGTTCATTGTTTTTACTCAAAACCAATTTAATGCACAATGACAATACGAGTGAGCGTAATAATATTGGCAGCGAACGACAACGGGGCTACGATCGTTTGCCGACAACCTCGAAAATACACCACTTTGCCGTCAACAACAGCCGCAACAGTTTTGATGACGGTGAAAGAAAGGCTACAAGCACAGATACTGCAGCATTGGCAACAAATTTGGGCATACTTAGCGGTAATTGCAAGGCAAATTTAAGTACAGCAAACGCAACGAACACCGCAGCGCATGCGCAAACGGTGGATATTTAAGGTAGAAGATCGATAAATGGTATAAAGGCTAAATGTTGCAGCATGCACTCGAAAATGTGTGCGTATATGTCTAGCCAGTGATTAGTACACCAAAAAATAAGACTGTAGTATATAAAAAAAATATTTACATTGTAATATACACATGCTTTGTTGGGTATATTTGTTATAGAGCCAAACAAAAAGGGTTGCTTATGGCGCCAAAAGTGTCACATTGATACTAGAGCGCGTCCGCTCGGCACACAAAACCCAAACATGTGCAAGCTTCATGGTTCCTGCATTACATGTATGAATTATCGAGAATGTTCACTAAGTGTCATAAACCTTGTGTTACGTATTATGTTGCGTTTGCGTTATTGTAGTACAAATTTCTATGAAATATAAAACAAATATTTGCTGCTCCAAACTACTTTTGACGGTATGCAAGTGCTTGCGGGTTGTCGGCACAGCCCATCGAAATCAGTATATAGGTGGCGCTCACACGCGCTCCTACAACGCCACCACGCCACCACCCACCATTTGAAGCTAAACGCAAGCGTAATCTGTTTTTGTTACGTGTTTTCTTTTGTATTTTGTTTGGTTTTTGTTTTTTTTTGTTTTTGTATTATTTCGATGTTGATTTAATTATAAGTTACAGCTATAAACTAAACTACATTGTGATATTATTTATTACGCTAATTTAATTTATTATTTAAATAATTATTATTCATTAAGATTAGTATAGAGCAAAATGGCTATAGATATTATATATGAAAAAAGAAAAGAAAACACACTACTTAGGTATATACACAAGTAAGTTGATGCTGATATGTATGTATGAAGAGTTTGTATTGTAAAATGAAATTTACTTCTAGTATTATAAGTTCAAAGTTATGCCAAACCACCTTATTAATTGCACACATTGCTTTAGATAAGTATAATTTGAATCATCAAAGCCTTAAACAACCTAATTAAATTTTATGTACATTTTTATGTTAGTAAGCTAAAAAAAATATATTTTCAATTAAACTTATTGCATGCGTAAGTGAAGCTTTTTATGTAAATCAGCAGAGGATTTTTTTACGGCAGCTAAATTTACAACAAGAACTTGTTATAATGGTGTGCAAATATGTGGTTTGTAAATTGTCTGTATATGCAAAAGTACTGTTATCATTGTCTCCGATTCGGTAAACAATGTGTACCACGATTTTGAAGGCCAAGAAGCAGTTGACGCTTAGCATAACCTTTGATTAAGCACAACCTACGATTATGCTGCCGAAAGGAAAAGAAAAGCATCTAGAAATACAAAACTTTATCTTCATGGTTCAAACTATTTTGATTACATTATATAGAGTACTTTGTTAAAACAAAAATCTCGAAATATATCAAATTGAAAAACTATGGTATAAAGTTATATAAATTTAAATTGAAAGCTCTTAAAAGCCATTTGAAAATTTATTTCTTCCGAACAAAAATTCACATCAGAAAAAATAGCAAAAAAAGAATAAATTTTTTATAACGGTTTTTCCAATAAGAGGTGTTATTTTTATGTTCATAAAACTTTTCCCTCAAAAGATCAATGGTTTCGTTGCTGGTTTGGCATGTAGCGCCATCTTGTTGAAAGTAAACGTTGTTCCATATCAATACTATTCAATTCCAGATATAAAAAATATTAAATATCTCTCGATAGCGCAATTCATTCATTTTAGAAAAGTAAGGTCCAATGACCTCGCCGGACCATAAACCGCACCATGTTATTAACAATGAAGTGTTGTGTAGGAAATGGTGTTTAAAATAAAAACAACAATATTTGCTTTTAATTCATTCATACCTTTAAACTTGTACTCTACGCATATCACTAATCAAAAATTCTTAATATCGTTTTACCCCCCATAAACCAGTTCTTAATCATAGCTTTTATTAACTGGAAAAATACCGTTATGCCTGTTTTGATGCTGCATGCGTCGTTTAAACAGCGTCAACTGTGTTTTTTGGCCTCTTCTGAACTTTTTTTTATTCTAGTAAATAAATGCGAAATATAATTTCATGGCAAAATAAATTCTACACGAATAACTATAATGTTGCGATCTTGCTTTGATTTGTGACGATCACAGATTTTCCTGATCTTTTCCTTACATACTAGGCGTTTCGACGGTATTTCAGCGTGACTTTGAAAATTAGCGCTGTAAATGAAAATCACTTTGCGCACCATATCCTCAAACATATATTGTATTATTTTGTAACCCTCCGATATTTATACATTACTTTCATACTTACATTCAATATAAATAAACGAAAAGGTGTAATTTTCGTTTATGGTCATTAAAATAAAATGCACAAGTGCTTTATCTTAAGCTGCCTTTTTGTCTACAAAAATGTCTGTATATATTTATATGCCTATGCATGTATATATGCGTATTTAAATGTATTTTGATAAGTAGCCAAAGAAATTAAGCTTCCAAATATTATAAATCGCTTTTAACTATTGCAAAGACAGTGAAGAGTTAATTTTTTTTTTTGAAAATATACGATAATAATTTTTTATAAAATATACAATAACTTTTGAGATGTCTGGATATGTGCCTCAATAAAAAAAAAAAAAATAATAATAATAAATCTAGCAAGAATATAATTGAATGCATTTAATCACTACAAATTGAAGAAAAAAACTAAATAAGAAATATTTTTTTGGATTTTGTAAAATATTTAAAACTAATTTTTTTCAATTTGTTGTTCTATGTACATAAGACAAATCCATACGCGAAATAACTTTAAAAAATATTTTTTACATAAAATCTACAATCAGTGTGTGTAGTTGTAGCCGCAAAAAATATTCTTCAAAGTAGTTTTTGGGGAATGATAGTCCTTGGCCGGATAAAATTCCGTATCGTTCCGTTATAAAGACCCGCCTGTCGCAGGAACTTTTGGATTTTCGTCACTTCTTACGACAGATATGCCTTACCGCGGGAAAATTCTTGAAACCCTACGCCGCAGGGTAAAAATTATAATCAGTGAGCAAAGCCGATTTGTATGGAAAATTTCTATTAGATTTTGCCGTGCGTTTGGTAGAAATTTTCGCACATCTTTTCTAAATGCCCTTACTGTCTAATAGACTTTGTACTCACATTTAAAGAAAATTACTAACAAAATCCTACACATGTACTACATTTGTACTCATATTTAAAGAAATTACTAACAAAATCCTACACATACATACAAACGAAAGTCGTCTGCAACTGAAATAATTGAAAAGTAACTACAAAGTGCATTATTTATGGATTAAAACCAATTATTATTATAAGTACTGTATTTATGTACATGTAGAAATGCAATGTATTTTACATATATATATATACAAATAAATACAACATAAACTAAAATATTAAAATTATTAATTAATATCGAACTATTACCAAATAAATACTGGAAAGACTTTACATAAATACAACGCAAAACTTGCCTTAATTTCAATAGAAAAAAATGATAATAAACTTTGTAAAATATTTAACAAAAGTGAGGTTAGTTAAAAAAAAAAAAGAAAAACAAATTACATATACATATTTGTAAGATTAACCATTTCAAATAACTATTGTATTTAAGGAAAAGAACTATGAATAATACAAATTTGTAAAATATTATGCATTAGTTATTTATATATAACTAAAAAACCTATACAGTGAATGCATTGTACAAGTGTTTGAAATAACTTGTATAAATGTTATACATACATACATACATACAAAGCACAATGAATATAAATTTGTGTATATTGTAGAGGTTAAATATATAAATGAAAGTTAAATTATTAATAAAAATTAAAAGAGAAAAAAATTATTCAGATTGGGTTTTCATTTCTCTTAATTTTGCAAATCCAATTCTCTTTTTCAACCCAAACATGCTTCTTTGCCCAGCTCAAATAAAATTTCTGATGTCACCCTCCTTGTAGGTAACCTCACCAAGGTAAGAGGTTCAGGTGGACCTCAGATTGGGTAAGTCCTCGAAATCTCTCTTAGAAGAACAGTTTAATTTACTGAGGTACTCAATTAGTGTTTTTGTTATTGTTGTCGAAGCGACGAGCTCAGCACCGAACTGGAACAGTCCAAATTAGTTTAAATCGTTGAGTTGTTGTTGTAGCCGCAAACACATTCCCCAAAGCAGTTTAAGGGTGATGTTGCCATAGTGACAGTTTTTGGCCGGATTAAAATCCCGATCGTTCCGGTATACTTTTGGCTTTTAGTCTTCTCTTGCGACAGGCTGGAGAATTCTTTAACTCCAACTTCGCTATGTTCTGTGCTTATTTCATCATTTTGTCATTGGGCACGCTTATTATACTCGGCAAATGGCGTCTGAAATCTGAGAAATAGAGCACTTGTGCTCAATATCTCCTCCAGCATTAAGAAATTCTCATTACAGCCAAGTTTGAAGAGATAGGTAATGATGATCTGAGTGACCGACAATCAACAGAAATAATTAAATAGTTGGATTCATGGATATTGAACATCAAGTCTGGTTAAGTAGGAGTATTGAGTTTGGTTTGTAGGTAAGCGTCCGCACAAGAGCCATTGATTCGATACAATAAATCGATTTTATAAATTGCTTCAGTTTCTTTCAACCAAGCGTGACCATCTCCCCAACCATACGGAAGTAGGTGCATCTTGAAAGATGGGTCATCTCAATCGGCTGAAGGCCGTCATACTCTGTACATGCTCTGCACACAGCTGATTCCACTTTAGCTCATGGAGATGATGTCTCAGGGTTAGATGCCCCGGTCTGGTGTACCTACTATTCACGCTGCCTCACAATAAACTAGTCCTACGTCCTACGTTGGAAGAATTCCAATAACTTAAGTGTTCTTTCATGGCCCACGGCTTTATACAACAATTGTAGCCGTTGTCGATGTTGATAGTAGTGGATGATAACTTCGCGAACTCGTAAACCTCTTCATTGTGACCCAAGCGATATTCACCGAGCTTTTCCGCTATAGTCGTTTAATTGTTTCAACGCATTTGGTTTTTGTGTTGACGAACTTAGTTGCAGTTGCAGTTTGATTGTCTACCAGAAACTTGATAGATTTCGCCATAAAAGTTGTAGTCTTTGGGTTTGAAGCTGCCTTGGTTAATAGCGTGGTCACAGAAAAAAACTGGTCCTGTTTCTGACCTGCACTTAGACCCATAGATATGGATAACTTCACTGTTGCTAATCGGCCCTCCGTCTATTATTTCATTCTTTTCCAGAAAGAGTAGACAGTACCACCAGAAATTTTCCGTTTCTTGGACGCATTTTACGTTTAGCCCGAGTTCTGAGATAAATTTTCTGAATGCCGCCATGGCCTTCTCAACTTGGAAACTCTTCTTTTTTAAGGTAGTCCTTACCGCGCTTAGGGGTAGGTAGTCTGGCATAGTATCGTTAGAGTTACTCAGGTCTTAAGGTTTAACTCTTTTTTTTCTGTAATTGCATACGTGTCTGATTGATTTTCTATAAATGGCATTCAAAGCTTGTCCCGAATAGATTGTTCTCAGTTGTTCTGTAGAGAAATTCTGTTTTGATTCCCTGTAAGCATAAGCTTTCTTATTAATGGTCAGTGATGTACAGCCTTAAAGAGAGTCAGCAGATGCTGCATTCAAACCATAACACCATGTTCTTTAACCATGACTCAGCCCTTTTTCTTTCTTCTTTGCTACGGACTTGTACCTAATTAATTTAATTTTCGCGGTATCTCGCCACGTTGTCAATGATCGAGATCGGCAACATTATTCACAAAGAGCCAGACCAATGTGGTGGTTTCTAATTCATTCCGCATAACACCGTGCATTATCTTTCGACGTCGCTCGAAATTTTGAATATTTTAATATATGCACTTTTCCTGTGATTTGTTGCTAAGTTGGATATCGCTCTGATATAGGTGTCCAACTCAGAGGAGAAAACCGATACGTTTTGGGTGACTTTATCGCGCACCACGTTTTCAGCCTGTCTAGTGACCGTTTGGTTCCCGCTAGTCGAATCTTTCCCGGAGATACCCAAGGGATCAGGGAATACAATATATAGACTCACAAACAGTTAATCAGCACGAGCGGAACTACTGGGATATACACTTTAGGTACTGCAAACCTTTCCTATGTCAGATATCACGAGACGTGATGACCTGGTAAAAATCTTAGGGTGCCACCTTAATAATTTTTCAGTGAACGACAGTCACAACTATTTTACAGCCAGCGAAATGTGCATCTACCCTCATCATTAGCTAAACGAAAGAATATCACCTTGAACAGAAAATGAAAGCCAACGACGTAAAAGTTTCGACAGTTTATTTCAAGCTAGTGGGAGTCACTACTATTGATCTACAGAACCACAACGGAATCGTAAATATCGCCATTCCGAGGTTACCTTCTGTCTTTAACGGGGTTACGACGCCGAAAGCATGACAGCCCTTAACCGGATAAAACTCTGGTCAACTCCGGTGTAGAATACGGCGTCTAGACAACAAACCCCTTTCACCAAGAGCCCGTTAACACCTTCATCAACTCTCTCACTCTCTCGGAGTCAAACCACCACTTATAGCAGACGAAGAGCGCGAGCTGCCTTCAGAGTCCCGCGTAATACTGGCGCAACCTAGGTCTGGATATTTAGCAGGCCAAACTCCAACTCATCCAGGTCATTCATCGAGAGCCCTGCAACGCCGCCGTAAACTTTCTTCCCGTGAATCCAACCACCACCCACTGCAGACCAAAAGTTCGAGCTGCCATGAGAGAGCCGAGTAAAAGTGGCACAGTTAAGGCCTGGATATTTTGTTCGGCTTAATTTTTACCTACCCAAACGCGGTAGCCGAGTGGTTAACATTACGCACTGACATTCGGAAGCCTCGGCTTCATATCCCGGGGCTACCAACATCCAAAAGTTAGGGAAAATTAATTTAAAATAAAAAATTAAGTTAAATTTTTTAATTGCGGTTGACACTCGGCAGGGAATATCCAACGCTCCGCTGAATCTATTTTCGGCCGAGCTCCTCTCCAATTTGTGGTTTTGGGTCTTGATGTTTTCCCAATAAATGTAAGCCTGAAGTTTATACTGAGCCACCTCCAAACGGCTGATGGTTCTTTATATATAGAAAACGTCATAATTCTGTAACATATCCCGGCAACCAAAACTGAAAGTCTGCTTTCCTAGCCACTGCTATTAATAGCAACGAATTCATAAAATAATTATAAATTAATTTGGCTTTAATAATAATTAATGATTGAAAACAAAAACTATAATAAACATATTTTTTGACCACCATATCCAGCTACCAAGTCAATCGTGTAGCATGATCCGTTTTGCGCTTGGACATTTTGATATAACCCAAAAATTGCAGTTCGGCTACTGCTCGGGTGAAGCGTGCTCTGCAGTAAAGAAGGGAAGATATGTAAGCATTTTTACATTAAAAGAACTATTCGGGTTACAACTTACTGAATTTGCGGATCCACTTGCTCTTGCTCGTTATCGATATCGTCCACGACCGAACGAAAAGCTTGCAGCCAATCAAACAGATTTATCATACGACCGCATTCCAGATGCAGTTTGTAAGCGACTGATAAATCCGGTAGTGTGGCCAACAACTGGTTTGATTCGGACAATTGACAACATTTACATTGTAAGTAGTAGTGCGGATTGTTCAGTGCCATGTGAAGTGCCGCACGAGGTGCACCAATAATGTGGCGCCGTACCGTGGACACATCGCTATAAACGAACAGCTCATGCAGTGGCGGCGAACGTGTCAGTGGCGCCATATATTTGATAATAATTTCATTTTGTATATAGAGAAGTGTCTGAGCCACAGATTGTGCATACTCGGAAGATGGTTTATTGTGTTGTTTGGACATTTGTAGCAAGTGTTCTTTCAGATCTTGACGTGAAGTGAATTTTTGCTTATTAGCTTCCGGAGTTGCAGGTGTACTCGGCGCGGCCGTACTGTTGGTCGGTGATTTTTCGTCCATACCGGACATTACCACTTTCGTTAAGAGATCTTTTAGCGCTTGTAATTTTTCATTCACCGTCGTCATGCAATCCTCAGCTAACTCTAAATCAACGATTTCGGAGTGCAAAAAATCTTCGGTTACTGAAATCGCTTTGGAAACTTTTGAGACAAATTCATCCTTGGACATGAAGCTAAGCATTTGCCAACATTCCTTAAATTCTGGTTGGTCACGTAGTTCTTTGGATAGGCAAAAAGAGTAGAGTTCACGACGCTGTTTACCTAAAGGACATTTGGGTAAATCACCAGTTAAGACAGTGAGAAATTCTAGAAATATGCGGAGTAACATAAAGTGTATGTGACAGTCTCGCAATAATTGCGGCAATTTCTTTTTCAAGTAATTATCATCGGTGAGTATGGCAATTATACGCTTGCAATCATTAATGCTTTCTACATATGGGCGAAATGAAAGCAAACGGCGTATGCATTCAACATCCTCGTGTGAAAGATTTTTAATTTGATTCAAGGAGGCCGTGTAATTAGAGCAAAGTGCGTAGGCATTTCCTTGAAAAAAGTGCTCCATTAAACAGTATTTATAGCCCTGTATGAAGCCATGAATAGAAAAGTCATAGTAGAGGAAGATATGCGTGAGGAACTTGAAAGCTTTGCCGGAAAGGTGGAAAGCGTATTTAGGCGAAAGAATAACCCGTTCGAGAATCTGAAAATTGAGATAACAAAAATATTATATTAATGAGAAACCGTGCAATGCATACAAATGAAATAACGTAATGCGCTTTAGAGCACCCTGAAAGGTATTTATGTACGAATTCCAGGATTTTCTTACCTCATTTAGACAAACAGGAGCCGTTTGTGTTTTGAATACGCAAAGTTTCACCTTACTGGTTACGTGATAAGGCAGTGCATTATGCACAGCGGATACGGAAGTCGCTACACCAAATATTAATACAAATGGCAAGTGTGCATAGTAAGCACTCAGTATTAAAATTAGATCTTGTAATATCGTTGTATTGAAGCATTCAAAATCTGGTAAAATAACAACTAAAGCATGAGAACGCTTGGTTCTTTGTTTTGCATGAGGACTATGTTCCTCTTCATCATCCACTCCATCGTCCTCATTGTCTTTGTTGTGATAAGGCTTTATGTATTTGCGGCGATACCAATGTACTAATTGTCGCATATTACATTGAGTACGACGAAGCCGTTTTCTTTCACGTTTTTCTGTATCTTCATCTTCAAGGTCTGACTGAGGTGGGCGCTCTTGCGCGCATTCTATGAAATTGTACACCATTGTTTCTACCGCAGATTTCAGTGTAGAACAATCACGAGATTGCAACATACACACAGACGCGGACATTTTCTCTAATATTCTTTGTGTTAAAGTGGCAAATTGCTCCAAATGATCAGGTTGGTTCACACCTTTAAAGAGTAATAACATTGACCGATATATTAATAATCTAAAAAACAAAAAATATATTCTAACCCGTCAAGAGAGCAGCTGCTGGCACTATCTCTTCCATGTCATATGTATCTGTATTTCCAACAATACATTCATTTTCTACATATTGCACCACATCTTCAAGCGTCTTTGTATAACTTTGTGACTGCAGTTGATCAATATGAATTTCCAAACTGCGCCAAGTATCAGTGTAAGTTGAGTAGAAAGGTTGCTTGGAAATTTGAGTTTGCAAATTAGTAGCATTGTCATCTTTAAGCTTTCTTTTTATGGCTCCCCCCTTTTTTCCTTCAGCAGCTCCTTTGAATACGAAGCATCCCTTTCGGGCGAAACAAAAATAGGTCCATAAAATTTAGACAAGAAAAAAACGTTATGAACAAACCTTAGACACCGATATTGTTGAATCCATTACTTTTCACTTTACTGGAACACTTGCTATGAATTTCACTGCCTTTCTGGTAAGAAGAGCTGATAAAAATTATTGTTTATGTCAGCAGTGAACTAGAAATAGTTTATTAACTTTACACGGGCCACAAAAAAAAATTCGAAAAACCTCAAACGAAGTTTTATACAAAAAAGTAGCATGCGAGAAAGATGGTAAACAAACAGCTGCCTCAGCCAATAATTGTTCGAATCGAATTTTACGCGCCAAGTGTCAGCTGATGACAGTGTTTCTGATGTACGTAAAGAAAAGATTTTGAACAGAAGCCCTAAAAGAGTACATAAAATTTTAGAAGTCATTAAGTTGCATTAATTACCAACAATTGAAGGGAAAGAACATAAGTTGATCACGCCCTTATTTAATTATGCTTACGCTGTTATTATTATTAACTCCCGTCAAATAAGTCCGTCCAAAAACGGAGCGTTAATTGATGCGTATATAGTAAGTTTATATGTTTGCGAGGCATTTGATTTTCCAAGCCTAACGAAAGCAATACTAGTTTGATTCCTCATAAAATCCAGACTTAGAGCGTGCAATTAAAATACCCTACAATCTTTACATACATACATATTATTCTCAGCCAATGAGAGAAAAATACACATATAAAATATATGTTTAATATTTCCAAATTAAAACGTATGATATCTTACATGACACACCGTACTTCATATAGAATAAAACCTAATGAAGACCTTAAAAATTTCATCCTAATAATGCAACCCCGTGCCACAGTCAAACATGTATTTTTGTAGATTTATCACAGTTCATATGTGTAAACGCTATTCCACAAATTTTTCTTTATAGTGATAGAAATATTTTGGCAATATTCAAATGGATTTAGATTATTTGGATATATATGATGATCTGGATGCATTCCAACAAACAGAAGAAAAGGTAAGCAGTTTATTTCAATACAGATTTTACTATTCCATTCTTCATTCCTTGCATGACAGAAATCCATAGAGCTACGAGAGTTGGAAGCCAAATGCCTTGATTCCTTAAAAAGCATAGAAGCATTGCAAGCGGAAAATGCAGATTTGAAGAAACGAATAGAACGGATAGGTATAAATTTTCAGAATTTGTTGGATACTGCAAAAGCCGAGATTAAGCGAAAGGACAAACAAATAGAACAATTAAGAAAAGAGTGAGTGTGTGTGAAAAACATATTCATGTGCATGAGTGCATGCTTAGAAGGGATGTAATTTTTTCACCTAAAATTATTTATTTAAACTTCAGAAAAGATGATATTTGCTTCAGACGGACGCGGCCTCGTAAGGAAAGCTTAGATTTTGCTGGTGATAACAATACCACAAATAATTGGCACAAAAACCATTCAGAGTTTCCCGAACGTGATTACAAAATAACTGCTACTGAGCGTCCACAAAGGAACCCATTTCAAGATTATTCTGTTGCAGATTCTGACCAATCAAGTAGGAGTAGATCGCAACATAATCACGACGAACACAAAGTGCGCATTTCTGATCAGACGTTTAAGAATGCTCGCTGTGATGAAAGATCTGAGCATAAGAACGAAATTGAATCAAAACGTGAAAAGAAACCTCGAAATAACAGCCCGACGGATGAGCATAATTCGCGATATCGAGACCGTAGTAGAGAGCGAGATAGAAGTGGACGAGCACCGGCAAGGGAGTACAGTCGTAGTCGAAATAGATCAACAGAACACAGTCGTAGGGAAGAACGGGATTATAGAAATCAGAAATTTGATGATTATACCAAAAGACATCGTTCTCGTGAGAAATACGGCGAGCGTTCAAGGTGAGTCAGCTAATTTTTTATATTTTTTATAGAAATGATAAAGTTTCCGTTAATTTAGATATAACGGAAAAGATCCAAAAACAAGGCTTGATAATCAAGAATATAATCAGGAAAGGCGAGGTGATATTAAAAAGGTGCAACACGGTGACATTAAAAATGAATACAAGGCTAATCATAATACGGAAAGTTCAAAAAAGAGTAAAATTGAAACGACATCTAAAACCGTCGACGAACCTAAGCCAAGTAATTTATTTCGAGAGAAAGGTTTAAAAAGTGGAGAAAGGGAAATCGATAAATATGATAAACGTCTCACACCAAAGGGAAACTCAACAGAGAGCAAAGCCAGTAATATACTTCCAGAAAAGAAATTGACCAAGGAAAGTTTACTAATCTTAGAAAGTAATAGCGGGTCTGAAACTAATAATACTACAGATCATACCGCGACATCAAATAGTATGACAACACCAAACAAAGCAACTTTGTTTGATAAACTTTTCGGTGGAACACCTAAGAATGTTGGGACTATGAACATAACTAATGAACTGAAATTGGCGAAAAGCAATATTAGCTCTGCTACAACCTCACCGAGCAAGTATACCGATACCAGTGAACAAAATACAAAATCGCCCTCAACCAATGAATTCAATGCTAATATTGATGAATGCAGCACTGATTCGAACAAAGAATTTGATTTCAGATATTTACAAACAATTAATGCGGTAACCAATAAGTCAAAACCTAAGGAATGCGCTGATTTTAACGATGTTTTAATTAAAAGTTTTGCTACAACTTCAACTAAAGAGACATCTACGACGGAGCGAGTTATTTCACAGTCGGATGACGAAGATTACATTGAAATTAACAAAACAAATTCAAAGAAAAAAGTGATTGATGTGGAAAAGCCAGCTTCGGATAAAGTGACGATCAGTAGTTTCCCGAATTTGGGTAAATTTTTGATACTCAATATTTGTTAATTTTTTTGGGCAGAAAAATGCTGCTTATTACTTATTAGCCAACTGTAACACAAAAACATAGCACTCGAATAATTAAAGATTTCGCTCCATTTTTTCTATGTGCTGATGCTATTTCCATTATAAACCTTACATCTTAAAAATTTTGCCGAAAAAATAAAATGTTAATGTTAACGATATCCCAAATAACAGCATATAGTCGCAATGTTTAAAAAATTGCTAAAAGGAATGAGGAAAATTTTTGCCTGCATGTTGAAATTCAGACCCATATATTAAGCTTCTTGGTTTAAAACCTGTTTTTTGTACTCATTTATTTATAATTTGCGATTACCAGGCTAGAAATAAAATTAAAACTCGCTTAAGTTTTAGTTAAGTGATTAATAAATATCAATATTTTTAAATAACCTTTCGACTAGTGCTAGTACGCAGTTTTTTCTGCTGTTTTTGCTTTATTCAAAATATTTATATACGTATATATTGTACATTTCAGGCGCCGTACAAATTTTACAAAATAGTCGCTTGCCCAACATTTATGAAATACGCGCCTATCAGAGGCGTCTAAGAGAGGAAGCTGCTGCTACTGAAAATTCCCAACGAGAAAGTATAGCAAAGGTGAAGAACGCAGAACCCAATGTAACTAAAACAAGCCGAATAGCTCAAGAGAAAACAGCTGAAATTATTGCTCCAAACCAAGAAACCGACAGCGGAGCACCACAATCTGCAACTATTGTCGAAAGTAATAAAGGTAAAAACGTCTTTATCTTTTAATTTCGTATACAAGAAATAAAGTAAAATTTAATTTTTTTTTTTAAATATTAGTTGTAATTGCAAAAGAAGTCTTTGGCGAATCGGATATTAATAATGGCAAAAACATTCGGATCGAAAAAATAAAGACAGTTACAATTAAAGATGGTAGTAAAAATTCCAATATGGTTGTAAATGCGAATGATTTGGAGAAAGCTGAAGTGATTGCTGACACTAAGAGCTCTGCAAACCCGAACAATACTCTGTTGCGAGTTACTGCAACTTTAGTTGAGGAGAAAAATTGTAAATTGAAGAACGAACAAGTAGTAACTGCAATGCCAATTCCAGAAACTACAAGTATAGAAACCTTAGACTTGGAAAATGAAGTATTTAGTTCCAAAAGAACAGCTGAAAAATCTGCGGTAATGATAGAAAGAATGAATCATGAAAAAACTGCTACTGGAAGCACCTCCTTTGGTGAAACTGAAACTCTTTTGCAGAAGGTGAAGACCGTGGTTCAGAAAGTCTCTTTTACAAATAAAACAAAAGCTGATACCATCGTTTTGCCCGAGTGCAATGGTCAAAGTGTATTTGAGAACAGAAAAATGGAGACCGATGACTCAATACACGAAGCTGAAGGAAAATGTTGCAATTTACCCACAAATTCGCCAACCGAAAATGTGGAAGCTGCTACATGCATTGACAATGATAATAAGTTATCTGACGATATAATAGCGAGTGAAAGTAAAGCAGGCTCTCTGAAGGTATCAAAGAAACCACAGCAACCCCTAGAGGATATAAAAGTAATATCTAATAATTGTCCTCCTAACGAACAGCTCTCCTGTAAAAGCAACAGCTGCGTGGATACAACTATCATTAATGACCTAGAAGCATCTGGAGAAAATACGACAAAGCTAATGGATTTATGTGATGGTAAAACAAAGCAACTGGCAGAAGATTCTTCTATTAATATTCATAGTAATGGTTCAGCTAAAAACAATAAACCTACTTGTGACATCAACAATAGTGTAGACACAACTGTAGTTAATGTTCCAAAAGCAAATGGTGAAAATACCGGCCAACTTTTGGATCTTTATAATGACGAAGCCAAGACAATGGTAAATGATGCTAAATCAAGTACAACTGAATTGCTGGTAGACAAGAATTGTGAGAAAGGAGCGAACGAAGAGGACGCGCAAAGAGAAATAGTTGCATCAGAAGCAACAAATCCCATCATTGCTGAATTAAAACCTATTACTACTGAGCGGAATGAAATGAACTCTGTAGACATTTTAAATGAAGTTGTAGGAAATACGGTGATTTCGAGTGACCAGTTGGCGAAAGTTGACCGTATACAAAGCGATAAGAACGTGATCAATGAGGAAGACATAGTTACCGATAAATCAAATGTACAAAAAGTATTTTTGGAGCATACATCAATTGCTGAACAAAAACCTATAGACCAACGAAATATATTCGATGAATCGGCGTTGGCAAAGTCTGAAAAAATGTTTAATTGTACAAATACTGCAAAGGAACATTCTAATGTAACGGAAGCTGAGCGTGGTAATACTGTCAGCAGTGAAATTAGTACGAGGAATGCAACAATGGATATTAGTATTGACCGAGCAAGCTTGAAACTACCACCAAAACCAGTTATCATGAATCAAACGCAAAAAAAGCTTCCTGCAGTAGTGACGAATACAATTATCACTGCAGCTGCTCTTGAAAAATCCGTAAAGGGAACATGCGCATACAGTGGACTTATTGATAATATGAAACGATCGGAAATTATGTGGAAATTTAAAATTCCCAAAATTAGCGCTAAAAGAAAAAGAGACGATGAAAGTGAAGCTAATAACATTAAAAAGATTGATTTAAATGAAGGCATCGATGAACAAGTCGCAACGAAGGATGAGGAAGGAACTAATAATGTAGAAGAATCAACAAACACTCTTAGCAAAAAATCTAAAAAAGATGACAAGATTGTAAAGATGAAAGCGAGCGAAATAATTCTGGTACCTGATGTAAGTGCAAAAATTGAGCGAGAGCGGTTGTTAAAAGACGAGACAAAAGCTGAGAAGCAAAGATTGTTGGAGCAGGAAAAAAGTCGGAGTATAATAAAAGAAATCGATAATTGGGCAAGAAGAAAAGTGGGTGAAACAACAGATACTATGGAAAAGGATAAACAGTTATATGCACAGCAATCGCATCAAATTTCTGAAAGAGTGTGTGTAGATGAAGAAAGGTCAATAAAAAATGAGAAAATGTTGCTGAAAAGCGAGAAGGATCAAAATTATTGTGCCACTGAATCAAACGTATTTGAAAAAACATCTGGTACTGAGCGAAACGGCAAGTATAATACGGAAGATATGAAATTTAATGTAGACTCTACAAGAACAAGTGATCATATTTCAGACAACCGCACAAAGTATAAACCACAACACTATAAGCATCAACAAGTTGATGGTCAAAGAGTATTGAGTAAAGAAAAACTTAAAGACAATGAAAGCGCTAAACACTGTTTGCCTGATAGGAGAAATGAACTTGAAAAAGTTGTGATCGCAACAGAAAATACAAAAGAAAAGACTGATATACCTAGACTTTCTAATAATAATAATAGCGAAAGCAAATCTCGCAACAAATCGCCACATAGACTTCCATCGAGCACAAGGGAAAAGAAAAAACATGCCACAAAAATCGTACAACAACATGAGTATCACCTGACTGAAGAGCCAAAAACTTGTGTCGAAGCAACTCGTAAACCTGAGGAACATAAAGCAAAACTCCTTGAACGTCGCAAGAGTCAAAATAGCGAAGAGAAGACTTTGAGTAAAACAATATCAACAATCTCTCATTCTCATTCAACTCCTGCGAGTCAGAAACAAAAATCAGAAACAGAAATCCAACAAAAAAAGACTCAAATGAAAAAAGTAAATTCGATTGAAGAAGAAAATGAAAAAGAAGGGCAACCGCAATTTTTAAAGGGCGAGAAAGCGGCTCAGAAGGACAACAAGGAACAATCTTCTACTAAGTTAACTTGTATAGAAAATGAAAACAAATCCGAGCCGGCTAAATTAGAAAGTTCCCTTACAAAGCAACCACACTCTGAACATCAGGCAATACATGTGGACCGATCAACAGAAGTACAAAAACCGCGAAAGGAACATCAGAAAATGAATTCTAAAAAAAGAACAGCTGAGAAAACTGTTTCCTTAAATGAAGTAGAGGGAAGCGAAATCTGCGAGAAGCGTGCTAAAATCGACGTGGCTGAAGAAAAGTTATACAGTATTCAAAATGTATGCGATAGAGGAGCACATTTTACAGAATCGTTTGAAGTTGTTGCACCAATTCCCGAATCGCAGTCATCTCAAATAGCTCCTACTTGTAAGGATACTATAAAAGGGACAACTGAAGGCGAAGTAACTGCATCTACGCTGCCCAAAGAAGCGAAACGGCGTAGGTCGGTTACATTTACAGATGCAAATTCGAGTTCGGATAGTGCTATGTACAGCACGCGTATCGAACATGATGACGAAAACAAAGCGAGCGTAGATACTGTTACGTCAACGCAAGCGGGCGGGCTCGTAGATTTGGATGAAGATATCCAACATAAAAATGACGATATTCTTGATATTCTGCAGAATGGTCGTGCCATTGATACGATGTGTGATAGTTTGCCCGCTCCCCAAACGCCATCGTCTTTGCCAGCAAACATCAGCCAGGATTCGAAATATGAAGAAATCGATTCGCGTATGCAGCTGATTTTCGCGTCACCAAAAGTTTCTGATAAAACGTCGACTTTGGCTGCGTTTGATAAACAAAATTCAGCTGCTTCCGATTTGATAAAAGTATTACAGCCGGCAATAGAATCTGTGAATGTTAGTTTGGCTCCAATGCCCATATCTGCCATAGCATCTCCGCCTGTTGTTAATGCAACACCGGTTGTTGTAAAAGCAATACCGTCTGTTGAAAATACATCGTTGCCTGTTGTAAATCCATTGACGACTGTTGTAAATGCAACGCCGCTTGTTGTAAATCCATTGACGACTGTCGTAAATGAATCGTCGCCTGTTGGAATGGCATCGCCGACTGTTGTAAAACCAGCGCCTCCTGTTGTAAATGATTCGTCGCCTGTTGTAAGTGGAACGCCCCCATTAGCAGTCACAGCGCAGACCACGGATTTTAGCGTCAGCGATACGGTCCTCAGTGATATCACCATCAACTCTTTCCATACTTCCAGCACCAACTTAACAGTAGATGAAACCAATCAAAGCACAATTAATATGAATTCATCGCTCAGTGATAGTAATGCGAGTACGAAGCACATTTCGCTGGGATCGAGTGATTATCGCTTTGAAAAGGTTTCGGAAAATGTAGTAAATTTGTTTATAACGCGTAAACGTCGTGGTAAGCGGAAGCCAAATGCCTGCACCGCGACAAAAGATACAATACCAACAATTTAGCTTGTAATAATAATAATTGTATGTTTGTATATATATACACACATATATATTTTGTTTATTCGAATATATATTACATATGTATAATTACAAAACTTGATTCCAATGTGTTTCAATTCTTGAAATTTCAAATTTCAAATATTCTCACAAATATTTTTCTAACTTAATTTTATAAAATAATCAACACAATAACAATAACAACAAAAGTATGTAATCTGTAAAAAGCCTTTCCTTAAGAAATCAAAAAAGCCAATCATTCCTCTACGAACATAAATATTCACTAAAAATCAGATAGGTGGGATAAATTATCAAATGAAGAGCTTTCACTTAATTTTGTGACCAACATTTTCCTCTGAGTTCCCTCGTGTAGTTTTATTCTTCTTTTTCCTTTTGTTCGCCCACCAAGAAGCGCCTCACAAGAGGTACTCGGTATATTGGTACCGACAATAAGGCGCCAACGCATGCGCCGATCCAATAGACTATGATATGTTCGACATTGGTGTGCCCACGACAGCCCCATTTGAGTGCAGTTGCCAGTACTGGATTGAAGTAACCGCCTGAGTAGTTGAATGCTGAAAACATCATATAATTAAAAGCAAAAACTTTTCTTGAGACGGATCTCACGTGTTCCATTGTTATGTATGGATTGACCTAATATCTAATTGTGTTTTTTGTTTGATAAGTTTTCCCTTACCTGCAACCACTAAACTGGTACCAATGAAGGAGTCAATGATGCTGCTGAATTTCGGTTCTTTTTCGCTAAGTGCTTTGGAGGCGAGACGGCAGAGGAGGGTAGCGAATCCTTCGATAGCTGCTCCCAGATAGGGATGAACCTAAAAGTAACAATGCAGAGTTTTTAGTTCTTATGTTGTTGTTGTTGTTGTTGTTGTTGTTGTTGTAGCGGTTCGCTAACCCCGCTTAGGCACAGGCTTGAATTAGTCTAAGTCGTCGAGGTCATCTAAAGGTAGGCCCAGGAAACGAGCTGTTTCGATGGGGTTGGACCAAAGGGAGAGGGTGGTTAGATGAGTAGGTTTGAGGGGGCATGTGAAGAGGTGGTTAGTGTCGTGCGGGGACTCTCCACATGCTGGGAGACCTAACCCCGTTTAGGTCTACAGGTTTTAGTTCTTATAAAACTTTTGAGTGACTTTTATGTGTTTTGGAGATATTCATCTGTTAGTTTCGCCTTCACATTGTATAATTCTTTCCTATAGCTACATAACCCAATATTTTTCAGCCAATATCGATGCCAGAGAGAAAAGGTAACTCAAAAGCAACGATGAAATCGTTTAATCCTATTTATATTCACAATTTAGCGATCGAATTTCGAACTGGCATAAACATTATTACAAAGTTTGCCGACTCTAGCTGCTTCAGAGAGGCAAAAAAAGTGCTACCACAGGGATCATCTTTGCGGACGTCTTCTTGAAGCAAGGAGTACTTGACATTACGGCTTCAGTTCAGCACCATATCACAGAACCTCTGGATAGGAAGAGCTATCGATAGTGCCTGAACGCCAACCCTCTTCCCTTGAATGGCGTAATCGGAGCTGCCTCAATAGATCCCAGTAATAGTAGCACAATTAAGTTCCGATTCGTACGTATCCACATCCTAAACTCGCACGAGACTCCCGCATGTCTACTAAAATTCACTCATCAACACCCCTTTCCTTTTGGTCGAAACCGAAACACCTCGTTTATTGGACTTCCTGTTAGATGACCCAATGGTTGTGACGAGGAAACTAAAGCTTGAAGCTGCTGAGCATGGAAAGCACTTTTATCAATTGGGTAAACATAAACATCTATAACATTTGAAGACAAGTCTAACTAATACGAAAAGCGAAAAGATGAATTTTCAAAAAAACTGTTTAAGATGATACTTTCTTTCCTTTTAAAAAATATTCAGTAGAGTTCTGAGTTGGTTTGAAAATATTAATTAACCATACTCTTACCTGCAAATCAGCGTTGCAATCCTCGAAAGCACGACCCTTATGTGTCTCGGCAAATTCAAACCACCAAAACACCTGCACTATGCGGTAAACGCAGCAACCACCCATCAACTCGGCCCATGTCCGCAATGCCACCTCTTTTAACGACGTTTTGCCCTCGACCAAATCCTCCATGTGAGTATACGGACAGGCTGAAGCATCACCCCAAACTTTACCCCACCAAACGGTAAGCATAAATAGGAAGACGGCATAAGCGGCAACACCGAAATTATCGGCCACTATTTAAAGAGGGAGAAAATTAATTATTGCCAGTTAGATAGTAATGGTAGTACGAAAATATGATATACCAAATTAAGTATGTGTTGAGTGGTGACATTGAAGTTTTTAATTATCACTTACCAATGATTAACTCAAAACAGCAGGCGCACAATTCTGCTGCAGCGATGGCTTCATTTATGAGTGTCGGCACAATGCCTTCCCGATCCACAAAGCGCTTGGCTAGACGTCGAGCAGTTTGAGCAAGCACACAATAACCGATCATAAAACCAGTACTGATACCCAGCGATGTCATGGACATTTTGCTGATACTCGTTCGGACAGCTCTCGACTTGACTTAAACTTAATCCTTAAATCTATGACTAGATTTGGTTGGTTGCTCTGGAGAAATTCCAGAAAATTCTGAAAGTGAAAAGGTGAGGTACTTTTTTGTTTATGATTTTGTATTGTCTTTCAACTCATATATATGTATATATATCTACATATGCATATATATAATTGGCGCTTTGTAACCGCTTAAGCGATTGAAAGCCGAGCTCCTCCTCCAATTTATTGTTTTTGCGTCTTGATGTTTTTCCAACAAATGAAGGGACCTATAGTTTATACTAAGCCGCCTTCGAACGGCTGATGGCTTGTTTCACGAGTAAATAGATTCGGAGGGTTTGCCATTTTGTGCCGAGAGAATTTAAATTAATTTTTAATTTTTTATTTAAATTAATTTTCTATAACTTTTTGATGTTGGTCACACGGTCCGGATGGCAGTACGCAATGCTAACCACTCGACTACCGCGGCCGCCATACTCGTATACGTCTGCATAAATTAACACTGAAAAACTTCAAAAGCTCCATCACAAATGAGAAGGATCTCTCCAAACCGAGAACGAGTTTTAATTAGGTTCTCCATCATATGATTTCTTAAGCTAATCTTGGAGAAAATAAGACTAGCTGTAGAAACGAAAAATGTATGCTTTTTTAAAAGAATCGAGATACACATTGGTTAATAACCGCGTCATAAGTTATGCATTCTCCAGACTCGCCAAAGACCAGCCTCTAAGTCGCACGGATGTACGATCATGCCATTCGTATAGATGGAGAAGCAGAACGTCTTCAAACAATTTTGTTGTTTAAGGTGAGAGGAATACATACGCAAACCCTTAAAAAATTTTTAAATAGGAAAAATATTTACTTAAATTTTTTTTTTAACATAAAATGAGGTTTGCAAATACTATAACTTTTACCTATAGCCATTCTCTGTAATTATAGGAACTATTCGTTCTTATTACATCGACTGTAACCAAGGTAAAACTTCAAATTGATAAACAAAAGAACAGTAATCACGACAGTGGTCTCCTTGTATCAGATAGAGCGACAGGTATAAATGTCAAGAAGTGCAACCACTGGCATATTCCAAAATCAAAATCAATTTGGCTGATATTATGTGATTATAACAATAAAATATAAGGGCCCCAGAAAGTCTATGTCCGGCCCTATGCGCGGTTGATTGCCTGAATGGTCGATAGTAACCGGAATAGATTCGTGGTGAAAATTCCAAACTCCGTATGATCGAACAAGGAGTTATGCAAGACGGTCTCTTCTGTCGACTTCGGTTTATTTTTTACATAAAGAAGCTCTCCCCTCAGCCAAAGGGCGTTCCAATGACCCAATATGTCCATGATTACTCGGTATTGATAACATCTATTCGAAAGTAAACCTGCATTTCACAGATATTTTCTACTTCTTCACAGCAAGACACCGAAAGTTACAACCCGCGAAATTTGCGGCTACCCTTTTCACCATCAAAATGAGGAAGTACTGCCACGAGCTCAATGTGAAAGTCGCTGACCTCAAAATTCGGACAATTAACAATCCCAAGTTTCATTCGACAACCTGCACTCATTCACTTCGCAGTTACGAGTGCGATTACCACAAAGGTACAAAGTTCAAATCGTTAGCCGGCAGGATCTGGGGGAAAGATAAAGAAACGGTGCTCGCAATATATTTACAAACTAATTAGACGGGTTGGTAGTAAATTACGCTGCTCCGATTTGGACGCCGATGAAGAATCTACAAGCACGCCACGAGTTAGGGATATTAATGTTATGATATGCAAGTAATATCTGCTGAGATGGTACCGTCGATAGCATATCAAGAGACATTTACTTGAAGTTTGACCTCCAACTAAGCTTATCGGGAAGGGAGTATATACTCTATTCAGCAACAAATGCAAAAACTGCTGAACAGGACGGCGTATCGACAGGCTTTAAGCACCATCCCCCAGAGTCCGCCAACACCTTTATGAACTCTCTTCTAGTGAAAGACGTGCTTGGAATGCAAACATCATTTCGATCAGCTCCCAACGACTTAGACTCCTAAGCGTAGTTGGAGAACCGTTGAACAACAACAACTACATTATTGCCGAGTACTTCTATGGGTTGGTTCATGGCTTCGAGCACTTCTAGCCCATAATCCAAGGCAGAAAATCATATTGTCTAAAAGCCATCGTCCTTGGATGGGGAATGCCAACCCCCTTGAGTGTATTTCTGTGATGGAATGAAGGCTGCCATAAAAATCCATCTGCTCTATCGCAACACCATCACCGATACTCAAACCCAGCATTCATATTGGATAATATTCGACCGAATAGACCAAGCGGCCGCAGCTGCGAGTATATACGAAGACCGTGGAGAATCGATTCGGCACCATTTGCAGCAACTCGGACGGACGTATGGAACAACTTGGCGCATTTAACGTCAAAATTTTAAAAGCATAAAAAACAGCGTGTGCAAGAACTGAATCCGCTCGACCTTCCCAAGTAGAATCGGACGTTTTTAAGCCAAATGGATAAGTAAACATGCAATATTGCCGCTATTGGGACAAAGAACAGCCTAACGAGATTCGAGAGCTGCCATTTCATCCAAAAAATCAACGGTTTGGTGTGGTTTGTGGGGCGGTGGAATCATCGGTCCATATTATTTCAAAAATGATGCCGGTGAGAACTTAACCGTCATTGGCGCCCGTTGATGTCTGAGATTGAAGCTGGTGATCTCGGCGACTTTTGGTTTCAACCACCAAGATCATGTGATATCACACCGTTAGACTTTTTTGGGGGTAAACAAATTCTATGCGGACAAACTCGATTCCATTCAGGCCTTGGAGCAAAACGTCATACGTGTCATTCGTCAGTAACCAGTCGAAACCAGACTCAACGTGTGTACCATCTAAGAAAGGGATAATCTTCCAAAAGTATTGTAAATGCCAAAGAATGTTCTCTCGAATGATAATAAACATTCCCCATTAAATTCGAATTTTCCGTGTTTCTTATGCCAGGAAAAACGTATCCTGCTGCGAAGCTCAACAATGTACCCATCCTGCGAGGTAACGAAATTATATATCTTGGTATTTTAGATAGACCCTTAACTACACACATATCCGACTAAAAGCTGCAGCTGAAGCTAAATCTGTCAGCTTGTGATCTCTATATAATGCAACCAAAACGGTGTGGTTTTGTTAAACACAGGTATTGGGTTTAGCATGTTTTATGGTACATGGTAAACAAAAAAACTGTGTAGTCGTCGGAACATTTTGGTTAACACCTTACCCTCCACGACAAGGTAAGCTTTCTCGAGCCAGAAGTTTAACTATTGTTAGGCTTTAAATAAATAATCAATAAATAAGTACAAATGTTAATAAAAAATATTCAAACAATAATTTAGTCGAAGAATAACTAATTTCAATTTTTCATGGTTTTTCTTGTTATTCACTCTTTCCTTAACGAAAGTTATTCAGTTCAGTTTGCTCGCGATACTAAAAATAGTTCAGCTTTTAAATTTTCACAAAAGATCACCGACGTACGTATGTACATATGTCTATTAAAGATTTCTTTGCAGTAAACCTATAATATATTTTTACTGCAATTAACACATTTTACGCAACAACATATGATTACAACTTGTAACATCTATTAACAATGCGACCGCTGATCTTTCACGGGAAAAATCGACACGAAAATCATTGATCTTCAACATGATGGTCACCGTATATAGTACATAATGTCTGCAGCTATTGATCATCAGTAGGAAAAAATACTATACATTGAATGAGATTGTTTCTATTGCTTGAAATTACCCGTTAGAAGTGCTGTGACCGTACCGATGGACGAGAGCTGACTATTAGTCGCTCGCTGATCTCGTGGCGGTGCTGCGCTGGTCACGCTCTCCCATTAAATGTTTGGTCGCTTGAGAACTATTTTATTTCGCGTGCTTAGCGATTTGTTGTTGATCGTTGATTATTTACAAATTTAATGGCTGGGCGTAGATGGTGCGAAAGAAGTGGGCAAAATGTCCATTTATGAATTTGCATATTTTTTGTATTGTTTCGATTTCATAAATGGTTAATTAAACTTGAAGTGAATTTTTTTGCAATGAAATTCATAACATATGTATGCTGATATCTGTAGGTATGGAAAAATATACAGCACGTAATTATTAGAAATATCATAAGTTGGCTTTGCAATCACTTCTTTCTTCTTCTTGATTAGCTTAGGCATTATGCGATTACAGCCGTGTTGACGGGAGCGCGCCATTTTATTCCACTTTTCGCTATTTGGACACACCAAGTGAAGCCAATTCCTTCAGCACATACATAATCCTTCCAATTGAGAACTTCCCTGTGTGGCCTCTGTTGATTCGCTGATCAATGTGAATGCCATCGTATATATCGTAAAGCTAATGATTCCATCTTCTACTGTATTCGTCCTGGCCAATGCGCAAAGGTCCTTAAATCGTCGAGAAAATTCCTAGGGCTGAGTTATCATATGTCGTCATCGTCCACGGAGGGTGAGAATGATTTGTATAGTAATTTTTGTATGTTACATCTGTTGGCAAGGGTGATTTTGTAATGGCTTTATCATTTTGTCATTGTTTTTGGTGTTGGCTGTTTGATGATACAGGAGATATTTCGCTTCGTTCCGTTATCCGTTCTGTGGAAAGCAGAACTAACGGCCCGTTTGCTGTGGCCGATGATATTAAGATCATCGGCATTCGTCAGCGGTGGTTAAGCTGAAGAAGTTATACCATAAATACTATTTTTTTCTGTATCGACCTTCTTCCAATATGCCAGAGTGGACCATATATGCGATATCGAGCACACTTATCCCACTATAATTTGCGTAGATGGTGGAGTCCCCTTTTTGTAGACTGGACGTAGGCTTCCACTCGTCAGACCAAATTTTGCAAAGAAGCTGAGGTAAGCAATTTGTCAGTTATTCGCTACATATTTGACTAGCTCAGAAGGCTTTCGGTAGCTTTATTGTTCTTCAGGCGAAAAATTGTTATTCGAACTTCACCATTCTTCAGGTAGAACATCTGTTCTAAAGTCATCGATAGGGTGTTTTATTTTCAGTATCATTCAGCAGGCTGCACATCTGTACCCTCCATAAATATAGCACACTCCTGGCATATTTCATCAGATCAACATATGCACCTTCTTCCTCGAACAACTTTTTAAGTTCTTCAAACTCATGAATTTTGGCCAAAAGATTTTACATCACATCACAACCAACGTAAAATTTGTTAAACTTAAAAGAATATTTAGTGATTAATATTACTCTCAAAAAGAACATAAAAATAAGATTTAGAAGGTTTTTACTGAAGAATTGGGTTCAGTAATTTTATTACTTCTTGTTGTTCAATTAAAAATTATACAATTTTTAATAATTTAATATATTGTGTTGTTGTTGTTGTAGCGGATTCGCTAACCCCGCTTAGGCACAGGCTTNGTTTCTACACCAGCCCTGATCAGAAGGATTTGGAGCAACCCAGCTGCGAGGTGTTGCTCCGTTGACGTACTTAGACTAAGGTTACCTGTAGACCTAAACGGGGTTAGGTCTCCGAAAGGGTGACAGCCCTTGGCCGGATAAAATCCGGGTCAACTCCGGTGCGTAGAACCGGCTGTCGTGAGAGTTAATATATTGTATATGTTCACGGTTGATTGTTTTCAACTTAGCTTGTTTCTTAATTTTAATGGGTTTCTTTAAAATGCTTTTCCGATTTCCGGCAAATGTTCTAAATTAACGACTGTTTCCATTTCCGCACATTTTCGAACATCGAAAAGTTTTCGCCATTCGTCATGGTCAGAGAACGTATGTCTGTGACATACGACTGTCAAAATAAACAGCTGGGTTTGTTTACTTCTATGGATTTGAAGTCGATCAGCTGTTGCAGGGCCGGTGTTCACATTTACCAAATTTTATAAAAATTTAAATTAAAAGTATGATTTATCTATTTTACGTAAAGTAATTTGTAAATTTTGCATTATTCATTTTTACAGATGACCGTAAATTTCGTAATTCGTGCATATACCAAAGGAAAAACGCTCCATCATCTATATAAGCAGGCCCACTTCAGAAATGTATACACGACCTGCAGCAGCTCGACAAAACTTGCGCAATCATATATAACAAATCCAACGTTTTCTAGTGTAAACTATGCTACAAATGCTTCAGCCAACAAAACTACCGAATGGACAACTATATATCGCCTGCCACTTATTCGTCTTGCTGCTGGTTTTCAACGTCTAAAAATCTATCAAGGTTTATTTACAACAATTGCGTTGCCAATTAGCTTTGGACTGTCACAAGTAGGACATATTTCACCCAGTTCAGTTGCTATTGTTGGATCCATAGGAGTCTCAGGACTTGTGACATTATCGCTATTTAGTTTGCTTATACGCAATTTGATTGGTTTCATTTATATCAATAATGAGCTTGACAAGGTGAAAGTGGCTTACGTGGATTTCTGGGGCAAGCGTTGTGAATCCATTATTGACATTAATGATTTGGATGTTGATTGGTCGAAAGCGCGTCCCACGGCCTTTAATATCTATCAGAAAATTCGTTTGTATAGTGACAAAAATCAGATGTATAAATTAATGCTAAACTACGGCGTTATTGTTGAGCCGCAAACTTTTACGGGTATTTTTGGCGAGTGAAGTTACGTTATGAAATTATAATTAGGGCAAACAAATTGTTAAAACCATAGTAGCATTTTACATTTTTTCTATGTAATATAATTTATTTAAGAATGTCATTAAAGAAATGTATAATGTGTTATAGTCATTATTTAATATCCATTCAAGAAAACAACAGAAATGGAAATGGTGGTTGTACTCAATAATAATGGGTTTCAAATAGCTACGCACACTTACAATCGAAGTAGTTAGTGTCATATTTTTCATTGATGTCGTCATATGTTTAGCATCAAATTTTGGTTTCATTAAATGGAAAGTTGTCTGAGGGTTAACCGTGCTTACTAGATGTTACCCACAGAGCTTTTGAAATTGTTTTTGATTATAAACAGCATGTAAGTAACAAACACTTAAAAATAACAACAGATCTTCCTCAAGTATTTGTATAACTGCCAAGATATGATTTTTAGCGACTCACCTACTTCGTAATTAAATCAACGGTGATCTTACCAACCTGCCATGGATGTCCGTTCTTGGTTGCTCCCATTGAACCCTAGTAAACCAAAAGTTACAAGAGCACTTTCAAAGAAAATTGATTTCCGATACCCTTCGGTGTAATTCCAAGTACCTCAGTGGAGCTAATTATGGATGGCTTATGTAATTTTTGTTATTCGACCACTAGATATTGTTAAACTTCCTTTTTCTCTCTATGTAACTATCAGCTCTTTATTAACAGAATTTTACCTTCCTGAATGAAGTATATATATTTATATACATATGTGTATAATGCAAATAAAAATCATTCTCAAGTTTCTTGCTATATTTCATTTTATAAATATTTATTGGATACATTTAATAAGTAAATTTATAAAAATAAAGAAGAACTCATGAAAAATCCTTACCCTTGTGGACAATTAGCTTACAACAACATCAACCTTTATTGTTAGTGTAAATTTGTATATAACGTACATTCGTATGTTTGTGGTAAATGTATTTACATAAGTAAACTCCTAGCTAATGACTGTCTCTTATTATAATAAGTTATAAAAATATGATTTAACCTTAATTCATTTGTCAGCGTGTCGGGGTGCAGATCTGGGTTGCATTTCATCGCTACTTGTTGTGCCATCTACGTCGTTATTGATACTAACAGCTGCTGGCTCATCAAATACAACTGTAGCGCTGGATGGTTTCTTGTTAGTCTTATCTTTGTCCAATTGTTTTGCTTCGGCGACCTGGAATCGAAATAAAAGAAGTAAATTATTACATAAATAAGTATGTAAATACATATGTATAACGAAAAACACTTGCTGCTCACCGTATCTGGTAATTTCTTTCGGAATGTTTCTGGCAAGAACAGCCCCAAAATACCCGCTGATAGGGATGCAGCGCCAAACAATAGTAGAGGTAGAGCTTCGTAATAAGTTCCCTTTATTAAGAAACAGAAACAAATTTTATTTTTTATTTATATTTACATAAATTAATGTTATGCAGTCGTAAATTAGCTATTATATTATAAGCACTTACCAAAAGTGGCACAAAAGGTGCAAGCATAGCGCCAAAACGAGCAAATGTAGACATGACGCCAACTCCGCCACTTCGTATCAACTGTAAGTGGACCGAAAAAGCATTAATTAACAGGTGTTTTGTACGTTATATGTTAATGTTTGTAAGTATAAAATCTAAAAACTTATTAGTTGAAAATTAAAGTAAATTTCAGCTCGTAATGAAAAAAAATTAAAAAATAGTAAAATAAAATGAAATGAAAAAAATACAATAAACAAAATTGAAGACAATGGAAAAAAATCAAACAAAATAACATAAAATAAAATAAAATACAACAAAACGTAAATCAAAATCTATAAAATTAAGTAAAATAAATGGAAAAAAAACTAAATAAGAAAAAACTAAAAAAATAAATAAATTTAATAAAGTAAAATAAAATAAAATAAAAAAAAAAAACAAAATAAAATAAAAAAAAAAACAAAATAAAATAAAATGCAATAAAATAAAATAAAATGCAATAAAATAAAATAAAAAAATTTAGAAAATAGTAACCTAAAATTAAATGAAATGAAATAAATTTAAATCAAATAAAAAAGTAAAACACAAAATAATAATAATAATTATAATTTAATATTAAATGAAATAAAATGAAAGTAAAAAAACACAAATAAAATAAGAAATACAATAAAAAAGTAAAGCAAAAAAATTAAATTAAATAGAAATGAATACAAGTAAAAAAATATATGAAATGAAAAAAATTAAAAATTGAATAAAATGAAATGCAATGAAATGAAATAAAATAAATTAAAATAAAATTAAAAAAATAAAATAAATAATAAAATAAAATAAATTAAATTAAATTAAATGAAATAAATTGGAATGAAATGATATGAAATGAAATAAACTGAACGAGAATATTATTAATTGGAATGAAATTAAATAAAAAGTGAAATGAAATGAAATAAAATAAAAGAAAACAAAACAGAAATAAAATAAAGTAAAATAAAAAAAAATACAAAAATTAAATGAAAAATTAAATAAATTATAAAAAGTTAGGATAAATAAAAACAAAATAAAATAATGAAAACCCATAATACAATAAATTAAAATTAAAAAAAAAAAGATAAAATGTTATATTAAATATGTATAAAAACCCTAATTTCTTTCTGCGGCATACAAATAATTTTTGTTTGTTAATTTATATAAAAGCAGTTCAATTATATTATTGCTCTTTTATACCAACTTAAATTATTTTTCTTTTTTAAATTCCTTTTTTTAAATAAGCCTTAAACAATAAATTATAAAAAAATTTATGATTTAATTATTTTTATACAATTATTATATCATATAACATGCTCATTAAAATACCTTTATCAATAATGAAGTTAGATAACACAATTATTGAGAAAATAAAAAAATGTTCTTAAATTTTAGATTAATTTAAAAAATTAAAGAAATTTCTTTAAGCGAAAAAATCCTCTTAATGATCGAAAAATTTTACTAAACTCTGTTTTTAAGCTCTTAACAAAAATATTTAGATATGATAGAAAAATCGAAAAGGCCGATACTTTAAAAAATGGTTTCCCAAATACATACATACGAGTATATACCCAATTATTATTGACCAAACTCACCGTGGGCATCATTTCGGCTGTATATGTGTAAATTACTGCGAATGATGAGGTAATTCCTAATTTTCCAATGAGAAAAAGTGTCACAATAGCACCAGTGGAACCTTAAAAAATATTCAAAAATGTCATTCAATATAATTTCATAAATCGCAAATATGTTTAAGTAAATTGCATTTAATTACGTGTCTCCAAGTTAGTTTGTACTACATTTGGAATATACCAGCAAAGCAAATATTAAAGGAAAATATCAAGTATACATATATCGTAAATATAAAATTTTTGTTTACCTTTTGTTATGTAACCGCCAGCGACACAAGTGACTGCACAGAGAAAGAGTGAGCCCGACAAGGCGCAGCGTCGACCAAACTTTCGCAGTGATATCTAGATTTTGATGTAAAGTTTAAAATTATTATAACCGCTTGAGTGGAGGTAGGCAAGATGCACCTGCCGCCACATTTGCTTACTTAATTAACTCACCCAAGCTAATGTGTAACCCGGAATTTCTATGAGACAGACTAAAACGAAATTCAAATATTTGTTACCGCTAAGATTCGTCGAGTTGAGGGAGAGTCCATAGAAAACGACAGCGTTAATTGCCCTGAAATGCATAAAATCGTGGTCATCACTAAATGATACAACTCCCATTAAAGTTTCCATTCTACCCACCAAATATACATCATTATTGCGTAGCGTAGTAGCAGTGTTTTTGATTTGAATATTTCACAAACGGCTTTCCAAATTTCATTGCTTCCTTCACGGCCATTTCCATTGAATTTCTCCAAATCCAAGCAATTATATGTGGCTCTCGTCGTTCCCGATTTTGTGGGTGTTACTGGCGGCGGTACACAGTTTTCGGTTTTAAAACTCGCCAACAGCGCCAGGGAGAGCTCTCTTTTATTAACGGCTGCGGCACGTTTTATAATCACACCCGCTTTTTCACGTTCATTCCGTGCAATCAGCCAACGCACCGATTCGGGCACGAACCAATAGTAGACGATAAAGAAGAGTGGCGGCACCGAAAGAGCACATTGTAATAGTTGCCAATCCTGTAGTAGCCAAGCGATTACGCCAACAAAAGCCTCTCCAACAGCGTAAAAATAATTTAAAACTATCGAGGACATTTCGCGCATACTGGGACCAACCATTTCCACGCCTATAATGAAGGCGAGTGGATATACACCAGAAGTGCCAACTGCGTTTAGAAATGCAAATATCAGGAAACTATTATAGTCCCAAGCTAGGCCTTGAGCAATGCCTGTGATGGCCATGAAGACACTACAGAGTATGAATATATTTTTGCGGCCAAAACTACAAAAAGAGGGAGGTTTTTATGACAATTAAAGCGCAATACAAATATTAGTTAATACCGATCCGCAAGATAACCAGAGATTGCTGTGCCAACTACTAGGCCAGCGAAATGCATAGTTCCCACAAAAGCAAGTTTCCAAGCGTTTTCCTTGCAGGTCAGCTCCCACTGTAAAGAGTTTTCAAGTTTTTATATGCCTATGTAAGTACACAGTAATGAGTATCTTATGACAGCTTTAGTTTAGAAACGGAACAAGGGCTTCTGAAGAATGTGGAAATCTGACATGTCTGAGCATTAAGTATGAACATCACAAGCAGCAATGAAGATAACACATTTGCACGGGTAAACGCTTAATGAGTAAAAAATATCCTAAACGCTAAGCCACTTTTTATTTAGTGAGTTGCTTATATCCTTAATATCAATGTCGGTTTACTCCTCCGAGTTGGTACACATATATATATATAACTGGCGCTTTGTAACCGCTGAAGCGCTTCTCCGCCGAGCTCCTCCTCTAATTTGTGGTTTTGCGCCTTGATGTTTTTCCAACAAACAAAAAGGGAGCCAAAGTATATACTATGCCTCCGAGCGGCTTCTGGTTTTTATTTATGAGGAGCTTTATTTCATGTCAAAATTACACTCGGAGGGGTTGACATTCCCTGCCGAAAAACGACCGCAATTAGAAAATTTTGCTTACTAAAAACTCGGCTGCCGCGGAAGGAAAATTTTCAATCACAGCCTCGCTAAGACAGGAGGAGGACATAAGAAACTTCATAGGCGATTCCACATCTCGTTCCTGACAACACGCCACACTTTACCTCGTGAATGCCAAACAACCCATGTCTAGTTAGAGCTTATGCTGTTTGCGAGAGTTTTGACCTTGGCATGAATAGAAGATTACTTGAATTTTTGCGGCCCACCTTGAAGGATAGTCTGGCATCCGCGCATGTGTAAGTGCTAGCCCTGCACTCACTGAGTTCCCGCAATGCATTCTTGCCCAGTAGCAGAAGAAGGTTCCTAGCCATTACACTGTGATCCGGTACACAGATTACTTTCAATGAGCGGACTTAAGGTTATAACTATTTAAATAAATAAGTATTGGTATATGTGGTCAGCAAACTCCGCCTAGAAAAATACTGCAATGATTTGGAAGACTAAGGCCTAAGGCAATCGATAATTTAAGATAGAGAGCCATTTCCTCCTATGTCCCAGATTCTTCCATTAAGAAATTGTTGAAGAGCCACAGCTCGGGGAACCGCATAATATATGAACTTCCAGTAGGGACCCTCAAGTTGCAGTGATTCGTAATGCACCACAGACAATATTGAGAGTGGTGTATTAAACAACTTCAAGCTTCTTAGCTTACTCCATAAAAAATATTGTTATGTAGATCCAATAGAGTACTTTCGGAGAAAAACCAAACTATATAAAGATACAGTTGCTATCTTTCTTTATCCCTTCCCAGCTAGCCTTCTAGGAGAGTTTGACAAAAGATTACTCCCATGTATTTTACTTTCCCGCATAAGCGAAGGTGAACGTCTGCTATCCAAGGAAGTACAACTTCTTAATGAATAATACAAGCTCTGTCTTACTCTTGTTTATGGTAAAACCAGTACTGGCTACCCACTTGTTACCACATTTAGGTGCCCGTGATCATACAAAGTATTATCAAACTTACTTTGATCGCTGATGGAGGCACCAAATTGTTTAGCAAGCCGTTGACGACCAAGATCCAGAGCTAAGTGGGCAGGACACAATCTTGCAGAGCATCCCTATTGACCTGACGATCAATAGGTTTGTGAACAGATTTCAGATAATAATGACAAAGAAATTATATGAGTAAATAAAACCCATTTAGTTTTTAATAAAACAAGAATGAATTTTTTAAGTCAAGATAAATTAATAAATAAATAAAGCCAGTTTACTGCATTCATTCTTTTATACAATACTTAGAGGGCTCGACGCCACTTTTAAATGCTTAGTACTCCCCGTTATCATTATATTTCATATAAAAATCGAATATGAACGTAACTTGATTTCACATAACCTCACTTTTATTTTTGTTCATGTTCCGACAGTGTAGTATAAAGTGTTTAGATATTTATTTTTGGCATTTTGTTTCTTAAAATTTTGATGCTTTCTATTAGGGCTGTAAAATTTCCATTTTGTTCTCAGCATTTCTTCTGTATACTCGTACTTTGTTTCTCAACATTTTGTAATTGTGTGTGTATACAACTTGTTATTAATGTTGCTTAAAACTACGTATATAATAAATTGAAATTGGCTTGTGACATGTGTACGAGGTGTGTTCAAAAAGTATCGCGAATTTTGAATTTTCGGGGGTTACGTATAATCGAACTTCGATTTTTTTGTGGCGTTATGTTGGTACTCATGTCTGTCACTTATGCCGATAAGCTCGGCCATTTTGAATGTTCACTTAATTGTTGACAGCTGCTTTGCTTGCACGTGTTTTTGATGGTCTTCGATTTTCGAAATTAAGTGCGCGGATGCATTCCGAATGTTGACTGTAGCATACGGAGGAGCTACTTTGGTGGTACAAAATGTCCTCAGAAGGCCGAGAAGATGTGAACGACGAAGAGCGTGCCGGACGCCCGAGCACTTCAATAACATACGAAAAAATTAATGAAGTGGAGAAAATGGTATTGCCACAGGGTAGAACGGTCAATAAGGAATATTACCTGTAAGTTATGGGCAATTCGCGCGAAGCAATCCGCCAGAAACGCCCGGATTTGTGGAAGAACAAAAATTGGCTTTTGCACCACGATAACGCCCCTCCTCACACATCGTTGCTTGTGCGCGACTTTTTGGCCAAAAAAAACACACAAATGATGCCGCATCCACCGTATTCCCCAGATCTGGCCCCCTGTGACTTTTTCTTGTTCCCTAAACTGAAGAGGCCCATGAAAGGACGACGAGATAAAGACGGCATCGAAGGAGGAGCTGAACAAGATAAAAAAATGATTTTTCGAAGTGTTTCGAAGATTGGAAAAACCGTTGGCACAAGTATCTAATATCTCACGGGGATTACCCTGAAGGAGACAAAATAGATATTCATGAATAAACAAATAATTTTTGAAAAAAAACACAAAATTCGCGATATTTTTTGAACACACCTCGTAGGTATCGTTGTGAAATTAAAGAATGGTGTGATCAGTAGCTACGTGTTTTCTGTAATTTTTAACAATTTTCGCAGTCTTAACAGAAATGCCGCTCACTCTAATGTAATTCACTGAAAAAAAGCTAGGCAAACTACTCCATTCAAATATTTCTTTCTGAAAATCTCCAAAATCAATATGACTTTTGATTTTGATTTAACTTAAATCGTTATAAAATTTGTCTATTAGATCTTTGCGCCGATGTTGTCCAAAACTCAAGCAAATCGAACATTGAATAGCATTTTTTTTTCGAATAGAAGGGTCCTTCGCCAAATTAGCTCCAATGATTTATAAATTAACAAGATTTCGCTGAAACGATTTTCATATGTATATTATTCATTTTATATTAGTATACAAGTGTAGTGCTAAAATGACTCGAAGGTTCTCGAAAAGGTGAAGTTTTTCTAGTAATCACACCCAAAGCGAATTTATAGAAGGAGAAATTGTCAAAACATGTGATTGCTTGTTCTGCCTTCCTTCCGTCCTTCAATAAATTACACAAACAAAATACATTGAACGGTTTTTGGTTTTGTCTTTTCGAAACTATGATTACACAAATAAAATACATAGGCTTGTTTTTGTATTCTTTCTACTACCGTGTGCAAATTTGCTTTGGATCACACCCAGTAATGATTGCACCGTATGTATGTACATACTAGTATGTACGGTTGTATAGGTACATATAATAGACGTTTTAGTTTTTTTTTGGGGGTCACATTTCTTAGTTAAAATTCTAATAATTGTAAATCTTACAAAAGCTCTTGCGACGTTTACGACTTCTTTTCAATATATCAGGTGTACAACTTTGCTTCCGCCGTTTTTTCCAAAATTAAAAGCTTTATTGTGAAAAAGTGCTTACAGATATATTATTCAAAGTATTGTCCTTCGCTAGCGACAACTTTCTCCCATCTTCCCGGCAATTTTCGGATCCCGGCTCGAAAAAAGGAGTCCACTTTTGACGCTATCCATGAAGCAATCCATTTTTCCCATTTTCGAAGGATTGAAAATGTTGATCTGCCAGGCCGTGTGCCATCGAACGGAATAGGTGGAAGTCAGAAGGAGCGACATCTGGGGAATACGGCGGGTGGAGCAAGGCTTCCCATTTCAGCGTTTCCAGGCACTTTTTGACCACTTTTGCGACGTGAGGCCGAGCATTGTCGTGTTGGAGGATGACTTTGTCATGTCGCCCTTGATATTGTGGCCGCTTTTCTTTTACCGCGCGACTAAGGCGCTTCAGCTGCGTTCGGTAGCGATCTCCTGTGATGGTTTCACCCGGTTTTAAGAGCTCGTAGTAAATCACACCGAGCTGATCCCACCAAATACAAATCATTACCTCGGCGCCGTGAATATTCGGTTTTGCCTCTCCCGACACGTTCTATCACTCAGAGCAGCATCACCGTAAGTTTCTGAGAGCGTTCGATGCGCTTCTACTGCATTTTTTTTTTCGAATTGTAACAGAAAAGTAAAACTTGCCGCAAATGTCGAGAATTAAGCACATAAATGGACATTTTCGAGCGTGAATAATACGAAAGAAAGAACAACGGTCACTGAAACGGCAATGACAATTCGTTAGGTACTGTCCACACTCATTTTAAAGGCATTATCATCTATGTATTTCAACCAGCCTCAGCCGGTACAGCCACCTATCAGAAAACGGCGGAAGCAAAGTTGTACACCTGATATATATTTGTGGTGCTCAAGACCCTCGGGTACACATACATAATTATTATACATATTTATGCAAATATACATACGAGTATTACAACAGTATTCCAATACTTATAGGGACTTACTTCTTGTACAATGGTCCGTTCCTCATCATCGTATACCCAAGCATTGCAGCGCTCTCGGATGTTATGATCAAAAGCATCCATTGGACATTCATTTGCGTGACTTTCATTAAATATATTGTCACCAATTGCTTTATAACGATAGCAATTTTGCGGTGTGAAGTGCCCATGCTTATCGAACGTGCCCGGTGTTGCATTTGCCAGCCAGTGTGTTTGAAGCTGTGGTGCGATTGGATCATCGCACTGTGGAATCAAGCATCTTCATTCGAAAATAAACATGCAAAAACAACAACAACAAAAAATAAAATAAATTGACGTCATAACATTTAGAGTAGTAGCAAGTAAGGAAGCCTAAGTTCAGGTGGAGTCGTGCATTATATACTGTTATTTGTATTGCACGTCAGACTTTCATAGAAATGAGAAGTTTGAATTAAACCAAAATCGAAGGAAGGTATCTTATTAAACACTTTTGATATGGAATTAAATATTGGAGCACACATTAATTTGGTTATTTTTGTATTCAAAAAAGTGCACAGACTTAAACGCATGAGTTGTAGTCGATACTGTTTCGCAAGCCTGGCTTAAGCTGCTCATAATACACCACACCTAGCCCGACCCTCCCTCCATATGCAGATCATAACCTTTGAACGGTGAATGAAATTCTTTGGCGTCGATGTAGGCGATGATGGAACGGGTTCAAAGGCTTGGCATCGGTTGAGGTTATCGTAGTATACCCACTTTTTACCTTCAGCCACAATCCGGTGCAAAAATTCCTTTCTTTGATATCATTCAAGAAGCGATTCCGAGGTGAAAATATCGCGTTTCGACATTTCCTGGCTTCAACTTACTCCGCACTTTTTCCTCGCTGGAATAAATCCAAATTGCTTTAACTGAACGGAATATCTTTGCTGATCCCCTATGAATGTTTCTGCGAATTTGCACTTGGCACAGATGTTGATCCAGTAAAGCCTCCAATTCCGCATCTTCAAGCTTTTTGGGTTGACTACGATGCTCTTTGTCTTCGGCGCAGACGCACCATAAACTTCCACAAACTTTCGATGGCTTTTACTTTTCTTCCAAATTCTGTGTATTTAACACAAATCTGAACATTTTTGAAGATACAAAAAATAATATTGTAACCAGAAACATTCGCTAATTCACATTAATTATTGTTGACAGACGAAATATGTAGTAGGTAATCGTTTTACAGGCCAATTACAACTTTCACATATATATATGTATATAAATTTACATTCAAGAATGTTTACTGCAAAAAATTACAACAACAAATTTTGGCGGAATTTTTTAGTTTTACTTAACTTTTACGTTTTTGAGTACTCTTCGAGTGGAGACTGATGGTCAGGAGTCGAATTGCAATTTGCAATAGAACAATAGTGTTTGGATCATTATTTGAAGTCATAATAGATGTGGAACCGTCAAAAATTTATTAATTTTTCAACGTGTATTTGCAACGCACTTGAATACAATTTTGTGAATGGATAACAACAGTTCGAAACAGCTGTAAGTTGAATTGTTCGCCACAAAAACTATCGCATGCATAACGTAAGATGAATTATTATCGATAAATTTTTGAAATATTTGATCGCAAACCCACAGATCGGTCAAATTTAGTTGGTCTGTAGGAGGTAAAAATTAGCATACCCCATAAGTTTGGTTGAGTTCGCTCGATATATTTCAATTCATACAAACAAACCAGGCCTTTATATAGTTATAGCTTATTTAATACTTATATTAAAAGTCCTTAATATTCGATATTGATTGATTGGGTGTTCTAATTACACCAAATTTTTTCGATTTCCACCCTCAGTCCAGGACTTTCAGAGATATATATTATATACTTTTTGACCCAGGAGCTGATTGTGTGCGTCACCCGAAATTTTTTCCACCTATCAAATTTTCACACTTCATGTGGCAGTCACTAATAGCTATGACTCGTACTTTTCAAAATTATGTTTATATTGTAGGCCAGCATGGCACTAGCTTTCGTACTTGTGTCACAAAGGCTGTGTGCAACAAGCCTCATCAGAATAACGCAATCATTACCGGAGCTATCGTGGACACAGACGGCCGGGCAGACGTATGGACGGATAGGTACGCCTAAACAGATTCGTCCGGCCATTCTTTGATATACATACATATATGTAAAGGTTGATTTTTTAGTTATTGGGTTGCCCAAAAAGTAATTGCGGATTTTTTAAAAGAAAGTAAATGCATTTTTAATAAAACTTAGAATGAACTTAAACATGACTTAAACACGACTTAAATAAATAATTGCCCTTTTGTTCGATAACCTTTTGCCATCTTCCTGGCAAATTTAGTATTCCACGCTCATAGAACTTCTGGCCTTTATCTGCAAAAAACTACGGAAATAATAAAGTAAAATATGACGAAAACGCTCCTTTGTGGGCTCCATATTAAAATTGACGCCAAACAAACAAATGTAAACAAAATTTCGCGCACTTTTTTTCTAATCCGCAATTACTTTTTGGGCAACCCAATATTATCTTTTAGGCAACATTGGTTTAGTCAGCTGACGCACATTTCGTGTTTTGTATTTCAACAGTGATACATACAGTTTGGTCTATAATTCAACTATGAATCGTCTTACAAACGAGCAACGCTTGCAAATGATAGAAATTTTCGTCAAAATGCGTGTTCGGTTAAGAAAGTTCGTCTCTTCCGCGCGCTTCGAAGCTCATTTTCGGCTCAATGGTTGCGAAAATAAGCAGAATTGTCGGTTTTGGAGTGAAGATCAGCCAGAAGCATTGTAAGAGCTACCAATGCATCCAAAAAAAGTCACAGTTTGGTGCGGTTTATGGGCTGGTGGCATCATTGGACCGTGCTTCTTCAAAGATGATGCGAATCGTAACGTAATTGTGAATGGTGAGCGCTACCGTGAGATGATTTTGAACTTTTTTTGCACAAAATGGAAGAGCTTGACTTGCATGACATGTGGCTTCAACAAAACGCTGCCACATGCCACACAGCACGCGTAACAATGGACTTATTGAGAGGCGAGTTCGGTGAACATTTTATTTCAAGTGCGGAACCGGTCAATTGGTCGCCTAGATGGTGCAATTTGACCCCTTTAGAATATTTTTTGTTGAATCTTATATCTATACAGACAAGCTCGCTTCAATTGACGCATTGGAGGACAACATTGAAGGATTTATTCTTCTGTTACCGGCCAAAATGTTGAAAAGAGTATGCCAAAATTGAACTAAGCGGATGGAGCACTTGAGGCGCAGTCAAGATCAACATTTGCATGAATTAATCTTCAAACCTAAAATCATATGGACAGTACTATCGATTCAAATAATTCCTATAGCTCTTAATAACTCACCCTTTATATGTTTCTACAATATTTCGACTCCTTTACTTCTCTGTATACAACCGCTATCTGAACAAACCTAATATACTCTGTGCACTCACTATGAACAGCCGCGTATAAAAATTGCTTGCGTTTAATAAATTTGTTTTCAAGTGCGTGCAAAAGATTTAGTAAAAGTTCATATGTACGTATATGACTATCGCAAAATATTGATGAACGGAAGACAAGGGAGTGATGTAAAGGTGATTATAGCGAATTTAAATTATCTCATCCGCCACTATAAATTCAATTTAAATTTTTTGAATAAATAAAACGCTGAAAATCAATAAAGAATGTCGACCAATTTTTTTTTTTGTATGAGGAAGGGTAAGGAAAAAGTAACCATCAGTTTTATTTAACTACGATTTTTTTTAGAATTATTAATTTAATTTGTCGTCCTACAAAATACTGAAAATGGACTTTGCAACATTTTAAATGATTTACATGTAATAATAATTTCTCATTAGATGTCAAAAGGTTACTTATACGCCCCAACAAATACTCGTGCTGTAAAATCGAGCTATACTCCACGAGCAAAGTGATAGAAGCTTAGATGATAAATGTAATATTAAGGTGTAAAATTAATATCAAGAAAAGAAGTGCTAAGCTCTTATTTACATTTAATTACGCTTAATGAAGGAATGTACCTCAATGACTGTAGCTTTCGTATGATTTAAATGCTGTTGTTATTGTTATTGTATTGTTGTAGCCGGAAAAATATTCTCCAAAGTAGCTCGACAACTTGATATAAGCGAATTGTGGAACGGCATCTTGAACTCCCTACAGTTTTCGGCAGTACCAGACAAAGAGCTGAGAAAACAGACTGCCTACCTCGCAGCGTAGCGATCGTCCTCAACACGTGCGGGGTGGGATAGATATCGAGAGCTGAAGAAGGAAGCCAGATGCATTTGCAGACAAAAAAAGAGCTCGAAATGCGTGAGTATGAAGAGCTTGAAAGCTGGCTGGCAAGAGTAATGCTTGAAAATTCAAGGGTTTCCAAAGCATACATTGGGATAAGCATCCTTAATATCTTATTATATGACCTCTCCGAACCGTTCGGTACCAATCGAAATTTCAGAAAGAGTGACTATATATCGTGTGATTTCTTCAATTTGATGGTGGAGAGAATAATAAGAGCTGCAAGCCGAATAGACAAGTCACAATAATGAATAAAAACGCTTAAGCTTCGAGAGTGTTCGAAGTTTGCACATGCAAATGCTTATTACTACTTTGACGTTGCGTTCTTCTCAAAGAAATTTACTCTGGAATGCTGATGAAAACAATAACAAGTAAAAATAGAGAAACCGCTACGACCGAGAACCGGCACTTGGACTCGTTCTGAAGAAGAAAAGGCAAAGTTTACGAAACCTTAGCGAAGTATTCCAACCAAATGCAGCAAAGATTGATTTCTCGATTCTATCCTTGTCTCTCTATGTCTTGGGAACTATTCCCGCTAACAGAACTACCAAATACGAGGTATGTACAAAAGTATTCGTAGTTCTGAATTTCTTTAAAAAGCATAGCGTTGTCTTTTCATGGACGTCTTTAGTTTTGGGAACAAAAAAAGTTAGGTTCGGTAAGATCTGGGGAATGTGGTGGTTGCTGTACTATTTATGTGTTTTTTTTTTGCCAAATAGTCGTACACAAGCAACGAGGTGTGTGATTATGGTGTTGATTATGGAAGTTTTTTGCGGTTCCCTTCGCACAAGTTGCGCTTAACTTGCAGATAATATTTTTTATCGACGATATGTTTCGATTAGTTCTTGCATGACGCACTGCGTCTCTGCAATAGAAGAAAACTTTTTGTGTATGTGCCAAATTCTGAAAGGATGCTACTCAGCCGTCATCACATCGGCGAATTAATTATCTTTTGGCCATTTCTTTCCTAACTTTTTCGTATAAGATACCAAGCAAATCATCCGTTCGATCTTCGCGAAAAAATGGTACTATTGAATAAGTTCACCGCATTTCCTTTCAATTAAAGGAATTTATCTCAATTAAGCCTAAAAAAGTTACATTTTGTAAAAAATATAAAGTAAAATATCACTGTTCAGTCCAAAGCATATTGGAATATAGACAAACGAAATAAAAGCTTATTTAAATTGCAGCTTTTTACACGTTTGACGTTTCCAACGGTATGCTCACCAGCTCCAAAAATTGGATATCAGATGTCGAAGCGAGAGGTAGACGGGAAACAACCATCCATCCTTTTGTAACTTTCCGGCAGGCAAAGAATGTACTATATTACATAATTTCATTGCGACTTCTACAAAAAGCAAAAAGGCTGATCGGTATTAGCTCATAGCGCATTGTCCAAAAAATTGTGAAGTTAATGAAATCTGTTCATATTCACAATTGAGCGAAATATTTTGTATATATATTTATAAGGACCTCTGACGCGAGGATAATCTTTTATAATGTAACAACATTTTAGAAAGCGTAATATTATTTTATATGATTTTGTGAAAGTCACTTTTCATTTCCAATGGTTATTTATTTGAATTTCCGGAAAGTACCGCTGTTCAACTTGCTTTGGGAATAATTCCATAGTTGACTCGCTTAATTGTTGAGATTTATAAATATAAAATTATAGACTATGTAATTAAATATGTCAGAAAAGATGGGTTTATTAAAAGGATAAATGGCCATAGCGTACATAAAAATGAGTAATTAAGTGTATTTCTGGCAGAAAAACATTAAGTTAATGGATTGATCGGCATATTCGCCATTGCTTGATCCAATTGAACATCTAACTCTGAAGAATTATAGGGTGTAGCGGGATCAAATATATTCTGCCTTCCATATTTGCCCAAGCATACGTACATTGTGGAGGAGTGACCTCACTGAACTACGACCTAAAGTTTGTTATATAATCATTTTGCATTTTCTTACTACTTTTTCAACGCAAGAAAAAAATTACAAATTTCAGAGTTCTTTGTATAAATACATACTATATAGGTACATACAGTGTGTCCCAAAAATAACCGAACTTTTTGGATAAAAAAAAATTGGCATTATATTATATTTGAAAGTTATTATTTATTCAAAACAGGTTCCATTTGACTCAACACAACGTTTGGAACGATCAACCAGCGCACGCATAGATTTTTTATGTCATTTATAGAAGTGTTCTTCAGTTCCTCGGTTACGGCTGCTTGAATGGCTGGGATATCATCATAAAATGCGCCCTTCATCTTGGTTTTCAGTTTTGGAAATAAAAAAATAGTCACATGGTGAAAGATCAGGCGAATACGGAGGATAGTCGATGAGAGAAATACCTTTTTTCATCGAAAATTCGAGCGATTTTTTGGTTGTCATTTAATTCATGTGGAACAAATCGCGCACAGACCTTTCTTTTCCCAAATCTTCAGTTAAAATTCTCCAAATAGTGTTTTTACTCGTATTCAATTCCTCAGCCAACATTCTCGTAGTAAAATTTGCATAGCTACCAATGATTTCACGGACTTTTTCCACCAGTTCAGGACGATTATTAGTTTCTGGACGTCCTGCTCTAGGGTCGTCATTTAAATCCTCGCGACCATTTTCAAATCGTTTAAACCACGTATAAACTTGCGTACGACTCATACAATCATCACAATAAACTTTTTTCATTAATTTTTTTTCAAGTTTGACACAAAATTTTATATTTGCTCTTTGTTCCATTTTATTTGTGAACCATTAGCACACTTTTGGTTTATTGAAATGGCTGTCACTTTTACATATGTCATCCGACTTACATGATGTTAGATGCGTTTGAAAGAGGATCAATGTATCTTTTTAATGTTGCAAATTTGCAATAGATGGCGCTGTATGTTGTATGGTTTAAATATAAAGTTCGGTTATTTTTAGGACACACCGTGTATGAATGTATTTCCAAATTTAAGCCGATGACATGGTTTTGAAACGATATTAATATTATTAAGTAAACAAAGCTTTTAAAAATTTAATTAAACAAAAAATTATCTCTAACAATAATAAGATATTATAAATTTTTTGCTTTAAAAACTTTAGTCGTGAACAAAATATGAAAACTCACAAATTTAACGATGTGTCCGTACTAACATTATATTTACATATGTACATACATGAATGGTAGGGTTTCTGCTAAAGGAAGTGTCAATTGAATTTTTATATAACTGCACAAAAATTTGCGTAGAAAAAAATTGATCTTGTTACAATGATTTACAATAACATTAAAAATTTATCTAGCTGGAGAATAAAATAGTAAATATTAACCTGTAAGCCGGCGACCCAGCAGTAAACACATACGACAAACTATTCGCTGCCGCAAACATTACCGGTAAACAGATGAGCAGGTAATTGGTCTTTTGATACCGACCAAATTCGCCGATTTCTTCCAAAATTTGATCGAAATCCATTATGTACTATTGTTTTTCTAATTTTGGATGTTGTTTAAATCAAATTAATACTTTTTATCACTTTTATTGTACTTAAGTTAATTATTTTGCACTTAATTATCACTAGCTTCCTCAATTCAGAAGGCACTTGTAAAAATAATATCAATATTTTAAACACTCTACACACATTTGGTGGCAATATTATTTCTTATCTCTAAAGTATTTTAATATTTTTTTTTATTTTAGTTCATTATTATTTATTTTTGACTTATTTTTTGTTATGGATGATTTACGCGTCGCGTCGCGTCTCGTCGTCTCCGTATGCAGCTGTTTTTGTATTCGACCACTCACTAGACGCAGCGACCATAATAGCCAAACGAACTTTCTTATGTTGGTCCTATAAATTCCCGAACCGTACACTCATTCGAGTAAATGCAAGTCTAATGCAATGTTTCGACTCGATGGCAGTGCATTTACGACTGAAAGTCAAAACAGGAAAAATCTTTTAGATATGGAAAATGTGAAAACGTTTTATAATACTTGTGAAAATATGCTTTTTGAATGAATGAAATTGAAAGTTTCTTCTCCAATTGAGTGAAAATTAATGTCCAAATGCACAAAGCAAATCTTCTACGCGCACTCATTGCGCACAAAAGAGAAATAATGCAAGTTACAAATGCTGCTAGACTTTTCTCCAAGTACATTTATACATATATATGTAAGTATTTATACTTATATGCTTGAATGACAAGTGCGAGAATTTGTATCATATGTATAAATATGCTCGCACACTAGACTGTGATAATCTCAACTGCACTGGCTTGCTGGCCGGTCGGTCGATTGCAATGTTTATTTCTCTCTCTCTCAGGAGAAGTTTAACCAATTTTTGTTGCTATTCTTGATTTGAATTTCATTTGAGGTATAATATACTCATATGCAAGTATATTCTCTCATTCTATTTTTATTTTTACACATAGTCATTTACAATTGTTTACAAAAACAATTACCATAATGGATGGATACACGTGTGTTTAAGAGAGAAAATCCCAATACAAATGGTCAGCTGTTTGCTTCGGTCTCAGGCATTATTTCATTATGTGTGTGCATTGAATTCAGATTTGGTTTTACCGGTAAAAATATTCTCTGTATATACATATTATTTTTGCTATTTCATATGTATACCTTCATACATACATATGAATGTACGTCAGCATTGTGGTGCAGAAATTTCGCATGGAAATAAAACCGGGATGAGCTAAACAGTTAGTAAAGGAATACATTCAAATATGAGTTAAAATAAAATTAAAAAATTTGATATTATTTGGCGTTTCCATGGGGAACTCAGTTAAAGAGTGATTGTCTTCCTGTCCTCTCTGTCCTCCTTCTTCTGGTAGGTTAATGCTTTGAGTTTCTCCGAAATAAGCATAAAGCAAAAAATAATAATTATTTTAACCATAATCACAAACATCTTAAACTAATGCAAAAAAATCTGAATACATAAATTAGTACAATATATTAATTTTTGGTCTGAAGTATGTACATAAGTATCATAATTTATGCCGATATAATCAGAATTCTTAAAATCCTTGGTTCATTTAAGGGACTTAAAGGATATGAAAACGGTCTTACCAATAATTGAAATAGAAATTTCCACTCGAGATCGAGGGTTAGGAAGAGAGGATGTTTCACTCAATAAAAGAAAGGCTTTGCTTAAAAATTAAGACATTGTGAATGGTCCACTGGCTAAAGTTGTTGTATGAGCTGGACTTTAGGTGAATGTTGGGGTAAGTCCAAGTGCGAAAAAATGCCATAATATGCCGTAAAAAAGACCCAGCTCTTGAGAGGGTCGATATATAGATACATTCGGGTCTTCGGTTATGAGCAAAACAATGATGCACACACCTTACAATATTCTGTAAACGATACAGTCTCTTCAAAATTTCTTTAAAAATTTTATCCTTAATACCCTTTTAAAGTACAGAACGTGGCAACGTGTGAATCACAATTTTTCCAGTAGGTTTGAATAATTTTAACGCATTGTGCGGCTGTTAAGCGATCCATTTTCATAAATGCCCAACTTTTAACTGAAACAAAACATGTTTGGATTTACTGAAAATTTTGACTTATTTCAAAATACAGCTCTGTACTTTTGAAACTACGAAAATGATGGCCCTATATATGTTGGCAGCCGCGATAGCCGAGTGGTTAGTATTGCCTAGTGCCATTTGGAAGGCTCGGGTTCAAATCCTGCTGTCGTACCAACATCCAAAAAGTTATAAATAATTAATTAAATAAATAATTAATTTAAATTTTGTAATTGAGGACGCGCCTCAGCATGGAATGTCAACCCTCCCGAGTGTATTTCGCTTCAGCGGTTACAAAGCGCCAATTATATATATGGATATATATGTATGTTGTAGTTGACCGATTTTGATCACTTTCAGGACGAGTTTGTATTTTATTATATGTGTGTGTGTGTAGAATACCAAATTTCAACCAATTTCTGACGGTTCCAACTATTGATCGTTCAATTGTAACAATGTATCTGGATATCAAGTTTTGTTGAAATACTGTCGTCTTCCGAGTTAAAGAACATATTATTTGTTAGCCTAATTGCCTAATTCTTTTTTAAATTAAAGAGAATAAATGTACACTGTTTGTCTTCAAGTTTTTAAACTTATGTATATTTTATAATTACTGAATAAATAAATAATTTTAATTTGAAAAGTTAATTAATTGGGTTTTTGAAATTTTCGGAGCTCAGCCTTGTGTTGCAATGTGGCTCCGGTTATAGGAAAGTGGTTATTTTGTTGAGGAAAAAATAAGGAGAATATTTTTTCTTCCATTCATCTAAGTTCGCCGGTCTTAATTGCTTTTATTTTTTTAATTCATTCTTTCCACAACTTTCTACAAGCTATCTTTAGATTTCAAAACGGTTAAAATCAAAATCTATTGTACATAATAGCACTTTACCGGCTCATTTCAAATGTTTACTCTTTTGTATTTTAGTTGGGAATGTTTTTTTTTTTCTTGAAAACGTTAAACTCATTACGGTCTTAGTCAGCATTTAACATTTGAAAAAAAAAAAATCATTTTATTAATTTACAAGCAAAAATAAAATAAATAACGATACAAAAAAGGTAGTTTCACTCAATTTAAAACAGAGAAATATTTTTTGACATTATACAAGAGGAATTCAAAAAGGTGAGAGCAGGAGAACAAAAACAACAATTACCATGTATTTTGTTTTTGTTTTCAGTGTAACAATTGTCTAATTCATGACAAATTCATACAATTCGCTTATGTAAAATTGAATTAATAATGCAAAACAAGTTAGAAAAGAAGAAAAGACCAAAGTTAAAATTCATGTTGTTAGCTTAAAAATCAAAGTTTGCTAATTTAAATCGCCTTAAAAGTAGCGTAGATTTCTTTTATTGTAGTGTTTTCTTACTTGCTCCTTTTTGGAAGGCCATTACACTCGCACATTAGCCGATATATTAAGGTACAATAATTATTGTGATCTTAAGGGATTACTAGAATTACCGCAGTTAACAGTTGTAGTATACACGGTGTGTTCCAAAAATAACCGAACCTTATATTTAAATTATACAACATACAGCGCCATCTATTGCATATTTGCAAGATTAAAAAGATACATTCCTCCTTTTTCAAACGCACCTAACATCATGTAAGTCGGATGACAGATGTAAAAGTGACAGCAATTTCAATAAAACCAAAAGTGTGCTAATGGTTCAAAAATAAAATGGAACAAAGAGCAAATATAAAATTTTGTGTCAAACTTGAAAAAAAAATTAATGAAAAAAGTTTATTGTGATGATTGTATAAGTCGTACGCAAGTTTATACGTGGTGTACACGATTTAAAAATGGTCGTGAGGATTTAAATGACGACCCTAGAGCAGGACGTCCAGAAACTAGTAATCGTGCTGAACTGGTGGAAAAAGTCCGTGAAATCATTGGTATCGATGCAAATTTTACTACGAGAATGTTGGCTAAGGAATTAAGTACGAGTAAAAATACTATTTGGAGAATTTTAACTGAAGATTTGGGGAAAAGAAAGGTCTGTGCGCGATTTGTTCCAATCGCTCGAATTTTTAATGAAAAAATGCGATTTCTCTCATCGACCATCCTCCGTATTCGCCTGATCTATCACCATGTGACTATTATTTATTTCCAAAACTGAAAACAAAGATGCAGGGAGCATTTTATGATGATATCCTAGCCATTGAAGCAGCCGTAACCGAGGTACTGAAGAACATTTCTATGAATGACATAAAAAAATCTATGCATGCGCTGGTTGATCGTTCCAAACGTTGTGTTGAGTCAAATGGAACCTATTTTGAATAAATAATAACTTTCAAAGATACTATAATGTGTATTTTATTTTATATCCAAAAAATTCGGTTATTTTTGGGACACACCGTGCACATATGTAATTATAATAATTATTATTTATAGTTTGGATTGGGAGCATATATTATATTATTTAACTACAATATTATATAAACGCAGTTTTCTTTTCAAAAAATGGCAATGCATACTAAGCCCCCTTTTCAAATTTCTTTGGCGGAAACGAAGCCAGAAAGATGTAGATCCTTCATCTTCTGGTGCTTGTAAAAATGATAGATCTCCACGTTCTACTTATGCACACACAAACACCACGGATTGCTTCGACTATCTCTTCAAACAAGATTTCCCAACAGGAACAAGTGGGAAAACACAAACGCCCTCGAACTAGGAGCCCTATTTACAGACAGCTGAAAGCTCCTACAAAAAACGGTCTCTCAACAAACATGAACATGAAATTACTAGAACACTACAGCATCTTCCACGCAGAACTGTTTGCAATTATGGAAGCCGCCAAGTGGCTGCTCGAATCAACGGTAGTAAGACTATCAGTTACGATTTAATATTCCGATAGTTAAATAGTCATCACATCTCTACAGAGTAACAGCACCACAGACAGACGAACTTATAAGGGTTGGTACCACTGCCACGGCAAAGTATATGCTAAGTTTAACCTTTGCCAAAAATGCAAACATTAGATGGTTAAAAGACAGCTATGGCCAAAATTGGACGCGAAAAACTCTAAACATATTATCCTTCAAAACCAGTTATGCTAATGGAATAACTGCGGGTGTAATAACTGATAGCCCTTTAATGGGGCTTCACGGGAAAACCAATGATTGTAGCCGCATGGAAGAGTTCATTGAACACTAAGGCTTCCTTCACTGGCTCGCTAAGCTACATAGCTTGCGCAAGAATTGCTAATCTCGTTACTTTTAATAAACATGGGAAATGGCTTGAACATACGTGTATGTATGTATGAGAAGGTGGAGATGAGAGCCTCATAGCGGTATTAAAACAGGCCTATTTGCCTAAATGCGTTGATTAATAGCCTTATCAACTCAGCTCAGCACTTTTTATTTGAAAAAAGCAAAAAAAATTTAAATTGAAAATTGTTTGCTTTTTTAATTAGAAAATCTAATTAAATGTAAAGAAATAAAAAATATATAAACAAAAATACAAAACAA